CTTTGTAAAACCAGTCAAAATCATCTCAATTTCTGTAATATGTCTTCCATTCTATAAAATGAGACCAAGAAAACTAGAATACAACAATAAATACCATACGAAAATACACTGCAAAGTCGCTGATTTATTAAAAAAAATGGTCAAAGTTTTTTTTTTCTCATTATGCACTGTGTGCTTCAGGATTTTTTTTAGACTGTGCACACTGACCACATAGACCCATTCTTTCATATGAAGGCCTACCAGCTTTCTCCCACTAGATTTGAGGCCGCTAGAATTTATGAGTACTAGTACGTCAAAAACCCCTACGCGTAAAACGTACTAGTACGACGAAAACCCTCAAAGGGTTAATAAATGTATGAAAGAGGGGAAGGTACCTAGGGATTGGCAGAGAGCATGTATAGTCCCTTTATATAAAGGGAAAGGGGACAAAAGAGACTGTAAAAATTATAGAGGAATAAGTTTACTGAGTATACCAGGAAAAGTGTACAATAGGGTTATAATTGAAAGAATTAGAGGCAAGACAGAATGTAAGATTGTGGATGACCAAGGAGGTTTTAGAGTGGGTAGGGGATGTGTAGATCAAGTGTTTACATTGAAGCATATATGTGAACAGTATTTAGATAAAAGTAGGGAAGTTTTTATTGCATTTATGGATTTAGAAAAGGCATATGATAGAGTGGATAGAGGAGCAATGTGGCAGATGTTGCAAGTATATGGAATAGGTGGTAAGTTATTAAATGCTGTAAAGAGTTTTTATGAGGATAGTGAGGCTCAGGTTAGGGTGTGTAGAAGAGAGGGAGATTACTTCCCGGTAAAAGTAGGTCTTAGACAGGGATGTGTAATGTCACCATGGTTGTTTAATATATTTATAGATGGGGTTGTAAAGGAAGTAAATGCTAGGGTGTTCGGGAGAGGGGTGGGATTAAATTTTGGGGAATCAAATTCAAAATGGGAATTGACAGTTACTTTTTGCTGATGATACTGTGCTTATGGGAGATTCTAAAGAAATATTGCAAAGGTTAGTGGATGAGTTTGGGAATGTGTGTAAAGGTAGAAAGTTGAAAGTGAACATAGAAAAGAGTAAGGTGATGAGGGTATCAAATGATTTAGATAAAGAAAAATTGGATATCAAATTGGGGAGGAGGAGTATGGAAGAAGTGAATGTTTTCAGATACTTGGGAGTTGACGTGTCGGCGGATGGATTTATGAAGGATGAGGTTAATCATAGAATTGATGAGGGAAAAAAAGGTGAGTGGTGCGTTGAGGTATATGTGGAGTCAAAAAACGTTATCTATGGAGGCAAAGAAGGGAATTTATGAAAGTATAGTAGTACCAACTCTCTTATATGGGTGTGAAGCTTGGGTGGTAAATGCAGCAGCGAGGAGATGGTTGGAGGCAGTGGAGATGTCCTGTTTAAGGGCAGTGTGTGGTGTAAATATTATGCAGAAAATTCGGAGTGTGGAAATTAGGAAAAGGTGTGAAGTATTAGTCAGAGGGCAGAAGAGGGGTTGTTGAGGTGGTTTGGTCATTTAGAGAGAATGGATCAAAGTAGAATGACATGGAAAGCATATAAATCTATAGGGGAAGGAAGGCGGGGTAGGGGTCGTCCTCGAAAGGGTTGGAGAGAGGGGGTAAAGGAGGTTTTGTGGGCAAGGGGCTTGGACTTCCAGCAAGCGTGCATGAGCATGTTAGATAGGAGTGAATGGAGACGAATGGTACTTGGGACCTGACGATCTGTTGGAGTGTGAGCAGGGTAATATTTAGTGAAGGGATTCAGGGAAACCGGTTATTTTCATATAGTCGAACTTGAGTCCTGGAAATGGGAAGTACAATGCCTGCACTTTAAAGGAGGGGTTTGGGATATTGGCATTTTGGAGGGATATGTTGTGTATCTTTATATGTGTATGCTTCTAAACTGTTGTGTTCTGAGCACCTCTGCAAAAACAGTGATAATGTGTGAGTGTGGTGAAAGTGTTGAATGATGATAAAAGTATTTTCTTTTTGGGGATTTTCTTTGTTTTTTGGGTCACCCTGCCTCGGTTGGAGACAGCCGACTTGTTAAGAGAGAGATATTTGATATACAGTACAGTAGAAGCCCCATATCCACTGATTCAGTATTTGCGGTTTCAGTTATCCATGGTTTACTGTGACCCAAAAATACCCCTTAATTTTGCATAATAATGGCTACAAAGTGGAAAAGTAGAAAGGCTGGCAATTCTTCAAAGCCTAAAAGAAGCCATGAAGTACAGCCTCTCCTCACTTAGCAAAGTACTCGTTTACCGACCAGCTTGGTAATTTAGAAAGATATAAATCTAGGGCAGGCATTAGGAGGGGGATAAGGTCATCTCATGAAAGCTTGGAGGGTGAATGTAAAGGAGGTTTTAAATGGTAAGGGCTTCAGCATCAAGCAGGTATGTGTGAGCATGTTATGTGAGAGTATGTAGAGGTAAGGGGTTTTTGAGAATTGATGGGCTGTTAGCCCTTTGAGGGTCAAGAGGCCCTCTCTCAAACTCGTCCTCAGGGTCGAAAAGTTTTTGAAAAAAAAAAAATTTTTTTTTCCTTATGAAATAATACAGAATCTTTTTCCGGTCATAATGACACCAAAAGTATGAAATTTGATGGAAGATTTACGGAATTATGGTCTTGTGAAGTTAGCGGTCTCGAAGTGGACGATTTCGCCCACTTTGAGCCCTGTTTTCGGCCAATTCCAATGTTGCAGTTGACTAAAATCATAGTTATTTCCCCTAGAACTCCATTTGTTCTATTGATTGAGTACAATAATTGGCCCATTTACCAATTTCAACTATCTAATAAAGTGGTCAAATTAGCAATTTGGGCAGTTTCACACAAATTTAAAAAATGCCAATTTCAAAATAGGGACTAGAATAAACAAGACAGACATTAACCCTTTCAGGGTCCGTCCCGTAGATCTACGGCTTTACGTTAAGGGTCCAAACCGTAGATCTACGTCATGAGCTCAGCTCACTCGGATAAACTGTGAGTGGTACATTTGGGCCTAGATATGAGGGAATACATCTATGTGGTATGTGTGCACCACATAAAACAGATCCTGCAGCACACTGTGTATAATGAGAGAAAAAAAACTGAAATCCTGATTTTTCGATTAAAACAGCGACTTTGCAGTGTTTTTTCATATGTTTTTTATAGTTGTATTTGGGATTTCTTGGTCTCATTTGATAGAATGGAAGACATTACAGAAATAGAGATGATTTTGATTGGTTTTAGCACTGGAAATGGCTTGAAACTGAACTAAAATTAGCAGAAATGTTAAATTTTTGCCGATATTCAAGAGTAAACAAACGACCTCACACGTCTAATACACGCCAGCTGGTGGGTCTAATATGCATTCACAAATATGGTGATGATATTTATACAATTATTAAAGTATTGCATAACAGTAAATCTTCTATTTTTTGGTGTGAATAAAAATTCATTATGTGAATAAAAAATCAAAATGGAATTTATTTGTAAAGCCTCAAAACGTAACTAATGAACAGAGGAAATGTTAGTTTAGTGCCAGGAATACCTACATTGTTTATTCTGAACCCTATTTTGAAATTGGAATATTTTGAACTTTGTGTTAAATTGGCCAAATTACCAATTTCCGATCACTTTAATTTGTAGTTGAAACAGTTGACTTGGCGATTTCTTGTGCTCAATCGATAGAATAGAAGTAATACTAGTGAAATAGCTAAGAATTTGGTTGACTGGAATAATGTAATTGGCCTAAAGTGGGAGTCAGTCTGCAAAATCGCCGATTCGTAAATATCGCTGACACATCAAAATTCGTGAGAGCATAATTTCGTCAATTTTCCATCAAATTTCGTACTTTTTGTTTTATTACCTAAACAAAAAGATTATCTACCATTTCATAAGAAAAAATAACATTTTTTTTTTTTTAAATTCTTGGACACTGGGGCACCACTTCAGATTTGGGCCTTGGACCCTGAAGGGGTTAATGGCACTAAAATAACATTTCATCTGTTCATTAGTCACATCTCTAGGGCCCTCTTGCATTACTTTTGCTTTCCATTTTGTATTTTTATTCGCACAGAAAATAGGTTTTCTGTTATGTATACTACTGCATCATTGTAAAAAGGGTATAAATGATATCAGCGCACTTGTGAAAGAATATTAGACTCGCCAGTCGACGTGTATTGGACGCGTAGCTGGATTTGTTTACTCATGAACATAGGCAAAAATCGATCATTTTCACTACTTTGAGCTCAGTTTCAAAGTACTTGTCATCGTGAAACCAATCAAAGTCATCTCTATTTCTGTAATATATCTTCCATTCTATCAAACGAGACCAAGGAAACGAGAATACAACCATAAATACCATACGAAAATACACTAGAAAGTTGCTGTTTTAAACCAAAAACACAGTTGAAGTTTTTTTTCTCTCATTATGCACAGCATGCTTCAGGATTTTTTTTTATACTGTGCACACTGACTACACAGACCCATTCTTTCATATGTATGCCTGCCAGCTTTCTTCCACCAGATTTGAAGGCACTAGAATTTAGGTGTACAAGTACGTGACCGACCCTGGCTGCAATGACGTACTTGTACGTGACCAACCCTCAAAGGGTTAGGGCATGAGCCTGGTAACTTTTATTGAAAGCATTTAAGAAAACTAGTTAGTTGGATCCAAGTTCTAGACTAAAAGTACAGTGCCTGTACTCAAGGATGAGCAGGGATGTTGCAGTTTGGAGGGTTATTTGAATTTTGATATCTGCACACTTCTGGCAAGACACCTATTGAATGAATTATGAATGTGTTTCTTTCTCTGGGTCACCCTACCTTGGTGAGGAGACGCTCGTTATAAAAAAAATTGCTCGTTTGTAACGTGGCCATGTGTTACCTTGTGTTAATCTCTCTTTAACAAGATAAGACACATTTATTTTATTCACTGCTATATTTTAGTGTTGTAGATGGTTCAGAGAACCGACAAGTGTTATTTATAGTGCAATTTATAGATAGTTGGCATCCGAGGCCTGAACACAACCGGTGACAAAATAATTGCTAAGGAGTTGGTGCCTGGAAAATTGCTTCCTCCCTGCACTGTCCCTATTACCATCACTAATGATACAGGTAAATAAATTTTTCTTACTCATTGCTTTGATCAAGATAGACTGTACTGAATATTTCATGTTAAAAAATACATCAAGATGGAAAATTAGCAGTAAATTTTGTGAATATCTTTTTTGTGTTTTATGATAATTTGCAATATCTACTTGAAAGTTTATATATACCGTATAGATTGATATTTGAGTAGTTTTCCCTTTAGTTTTCACTCTGCATTAATCTGTTTATTGGAATGTATAGAATAATGTATTCTTGTTGCCTAAATGAGCCTCCCATACAAAATTGACTAAAATGAAATTATAAATTCATTGTGTATCTTTCATCATACATTTGCAGGTCCTATCCAAGTGGTAGTGGCAAGTGGCCCATTTACAACAACAGAAAACCTGCTTTATGAACCACTCACAGATCTGCTGACTGATGTGCACAAGGATCCCCCACATTTGCTTATTCTTTTTGGCCCATTCCTTGATGCTGCCCATCCACTGATAGTGAACAATGAGCTGGGAGAAACTCATGATGCAGTATTTAATAGATGTATTCGAATTATTACATCTACACTAGAAAAGTGAGTCTTGTCATAATTTTCCTATAATGTTTGATGTCAGACCAATTTTATACATACATAATTTTTCTCTATTCATCAGTGCTTACCCCTTACATTCCACTGACACATGTTGTCTCCATTCATTGTTTTCCACAAAAATCTATATAATTCTTTATGAATAGGATCAAGCTTTTTATATACATGTAGGCTTATCTTAGTAATAAATTACAATTGCACCTTTTCTGCACTTATTTGTAGCATTCTGGATTTTCCCTTCACCTGTTTTCATTTATTTTGACTAATGAAGGTAACTGATGATGGTTTTAAGGCTCATGGCTTTAGGATTATGCATTCTTAACTATTTCAAATTTTTGCTATTGGAAAATTTATAACTTTCTCTCCACAGCTCGGTAACTCAAGTAATTTTGGTGCCATCTAACCGCGATGTATGCACCCCCATGGTTTACCCAACTCCTCCATATGAAGTGGGGGGAAATATTACCTGTGTGAGTGATCCAGCACTCTTGGATATTGAAGGTGTTGTTGTGGCTCTTACTGCTACAGATACATTGTTTCACCTTGGGAAGGAAGAAATCTCTTTGTGAGTTTCTCTAAAGGTTTTCCTTAATTTTGAGATGTCTTTAGTCAGATTTTTTCTCATTATTCCTCTACTTCATTTACCAAAAGTTGCTTAAAGTATGCATCAGAGAGCAAACCACAAAATAATATATAAATTTATCCTTTTAAAAGAAAACTTATGGGAGACCTCCTGTCATTAGAATGGAATGCAGACTGGTGTATTAAGAAATGCTAATAACATATCCTTAAGATCATATTTGGTTTTGAAAGTAAACTTAAAGTAGCCAAAATTAGCTGCAAATTTTGCGGTATGTAAAAACTATTTTTTTTGGGGGGGGGGGTACCTTGGTTTGGTGGGCGATGGCCATAGAGGTATTAAAAAAAAAATGGATGAAAGTACACAAGTACATACACATTCGATATCTATATTTGATACATTTTGAGCCTAGCATCTTGGTCACTAAATGATGCAAAATAGTAAGAAAGCCAAGGCAAGGTGTCCCAAAGAAGAATACATTCACTAACATTCATTCAATAACCAATTTTCAGAAGTGAGCTGAAATCACAATGTTACTTCCTTTTTGACAGTAACATACCCACCCCTTCAGAGTGCATTCACTGCCCTTTCCACCTCCAGGACTAGTCTGGCTAAACAGTTTCCCTGAATCCCTTCATAAGTTTTCATGCTCACACTCCAACAACACGTACATTAAAAAATCACTTGTCTCCATTCACTAACACAAGCCTGCTAGATGCTCAAGCCCTAAAACTCAAAGCCTCTCTTACTCTTTGCCCCTCCATCCCTTATTGGAACAACCTTCCTACATTCCACTCCAGATATGGAGACCCTCTTCATCAGTCTATCCCTCTCCATCCACTATACATGCCTAAACCTCCTAAGCCCTCTGAATTATATATACCCTTTGTGATCTCACATCACATTTTAATTTCTTAACTCTGAATTCTCTGAATGATATTCACACCACATGTTGCTCTCAAATATGCCTCCTTGTTGCACCCACATAAGTGTTGGTACCACCGTACTCTGGTGCATTCACCTTTTTGCTTCCATAAATCTTTCTTTCCTCAGATAATGCAACACCATCCACATTTTTACCCCTCATCTATTCTGTGGTTCACTTCATCTTGCATAGACCCATCTGCTGACATGGCTACTCCCAAATATGTAAGTACAGTACATCCACTTCTTCCATACTTCCTTCCTCCCATCTGATAATTTGTTTCCCTCATCATTGCTTTTTTCAACTTTGTTTTAATTTCCTTCTATTATACACCCTCCCCCCTTTGACTCTGATCCAATATCTTTTGATCCCACACCCCTTCCCATCACCATATCATTCACTCTTTTACAACCCTATCAATAAATATGCTAAAGAACCATTGTGACAGCATGCATCCTGAGTCCTACTTTCATTGGAAAATAGTCACCTCCCTCCTACATACCTGATTCTACACCTCACTACATAAAAACTCTTAACTGCTTTTAGTAACATACCTCCTATTCTCTGCAATGCAACATTTGCCACATAGCTCCCTTATCCACTCTCGTCATATGCCTTTTCTAAATTCATAAATGCAGCAAAATACTCTTAACACTTATCTAAGTATTTCTCACTTACATATTTCAGTGTAAATACTTGGTCTATGCCTCTCCCTACCCTTTCTAAATCTTCTCTGTAATCCTGCTTTGTTTTACCCCAAATCCTTTTTGTAATAATTTTATCGTAAACTTGGTATCCTCAAAAGGCTTTTCCCTTATAATTCGTAGATTCTCTCATATCCTATTTCCTTATCCAGGGGAATTATCTGTGCTTTCTACCAATCCTTTAATATGTTCTTTTCTTTCATATATATATTAAACAAACATATCAGCTAATCCAACACAATTTCCCCCACCTGCTTTTAGCATCTCTATCTTAATCCCATCTTTTCCATCTTCTTTACCTACTTTCATTTTTACCCCCTTCATCAAGCACTTTTCCCACATCCACCCCAGGCTTCTCACTCTTATATAATGTTATTCCTCCCTGCCCTATGCATGAAATTATCTCTATCATTCAACTCCAAAATATCCTCTCCATCTTTCTAGTAACTCCACTTCCCTATCTCACATCTTCCCCCCCTTTTGTTTTTAGCTGCTAAGTCTATTTGCTCTCTGTGCTTCCCTCACCTTATCAATCCCTCCCTCCAAAACTGTTTCTTATTTTCAACAAAATTTGCTGATTAAACTGTCCCATTCTCTCATTGGTACTTGTTTTTTTTTACTCCCTCTCTGCTTTTTTTTTTTTTTCTTTTTAACTGCCTCTTCCTTTCCAGTTGATCATTTTTATATTTTAAAAACCTCTCTAATGCAATTTTTTTTTTATCTTGCACTTGCTCTACCTCATCATTGTGCCAATCAGTTTCAGCAATGCATTCTTCAATTTACCCCATACCTCCTAGAGCACTTCATTTCCTGCATATTCTATGGCCCACCTTTTCCCTGATAGTTGATTGTATCTTAACAAAACCCTCAACTTAACTCATTTGCTTTCACTTCCATCTTGCCCACTGCTGCCAGACTCCTTGTACTCCATCTTTCCCTTACTCACACCATAGCTACCACAGGATAATGATCCGCATATATCACTCTAAAATCATGCATATCCTAAGTGTACCCATTAACCTTTTATCATATAAGTTGTCTAATAAACTGCTTTTCTTGTGCTTTGTATCATGTCTTGTATACTGTACTTATCCTCTTTTTTAAAACAACTGTTTCTTGTTAACAAACAACTTTCTACACACAATCAAGGGCTTCCATTTTCATATACTCCTGGCACTCCAAACTTACGTACTACACCATCTACAACCTTCTCATCCATGTTAGCAGTTTTGATCCCCAACAATAATTCTCATATGGCACAAAACTCCCTAGCATTATCATTAATGGTTTTGATGTGAAATAGATTAATTGTTGCACCTCCCAAATTGTAGATATAATGTGATTACCTATAACATGAATAAATCCACAATAAAACAGAAGACAAGGTGAGCAATGTACAATTTAACTTTCATGTTTGGCCAAAATATACTGTTATCTAATGTTTTATTGTTTCAATGTGGACTTTTTTTTTGTTGTTGATTAGTGTTTCATTACACCTTTGTGCTTTGATCAATTATAGATCTTTAAATTGTCTAATTAGTAATTAATATATTCACAAAAGAATACAACTAGCATGGATCATTGATTTCTAGAGTTAATGAGTTATTACTAATTTATTTAACAGCCCGCCACAAGGCCCAGATCGATTGGGCAGGCTTACTCGTCACCTCTTAAAGCAGCAGAATTTGTATCCACTTTACCCAGGGCCAGAGGGTATCTGTATTGATCAAGAACAAGCTGAAATTTATGCACGACTTCCATACAACCCACATTTGCTCATTCTTCCATCCGATCTTCGATACTTCATCAGGGTTAGTCCTTGCTTTTAAATGCTTTAAGAAAATTAAGTTACATAAATTATACAGCTTGGGGAAATTTTGTCTTAAACTTAAGTCAAGAATCAAGTTGCAGCAATTCCTGAGTTTAAAATTAGAATGGTCTACCACAGATATTATGGATAATTAATTATAGCTATTATCTAACATTAATATCCTTTAAAATTAAGGTTATATTAAACAGGATATCAGTAAATTGTCATAAAGAATATTAAAAAAGTTTTAGGATATTATCCATTTTAATTTTACTGCTTTCACTACAGGACTTGGAAAACTGTGTGGTTCTGAATCCAGAACGTCTAGCCAAAGGTCTTGTGGGAGGTACCTATGCCAAGTTAGAGCTCCATCCTCCAAAACATGAAAAAACAATGGTTGGCTCTGTGAATGCACAAATAATTAAAGTTTAAAAATTTCTGGCAAAGGATTTTAACACTGCTTAGAAAAAAAAATTGGCTTCAATTGTAAATGCTTACAGAAAATTTAAAGTCTTACCATACCTTATGAATTACTTTATCTTTACCTAACTAGGTATGTACTCAAAAATGGCAAAAGTTAATTGCAATGAAATTGCCAAATACACAAATATTGTATTAAAAATAAATACTTATTTTATTATATATGTTTTTATTACCCCTCAATCTTAACATAAAATTGTAGGAAAAAATTAACACGAGTGCAGCTGTTAAGATAGCGAGCCAATAAGTGGATAGAAAAAAGAAGAGGCTTTTATTATTATTATAATCAAGGGGGAAGCACTAAACCCAGAGGATTATACAGCGCCTGGAGGGGGGGGATGTGGAAGGCATTCAGGCTTAATTTGGGGAACTGGAGCACAGATCCAATTCCCTAAATCAAGAGCCCCTCACCAACATCAAGGAACCTTCCAGAGGCTTTTATTACAATACTGTTTTACTCAAGGGAAGCTTCATGAAGCTGTATAGAAAACCTGTATTTACAATGTATGTACACCACCTTTGGAAATAGGAGGCAATCTGATATGATCCAAGGAGAGTAGATTCAGTTCTGGTCAGGTGAATAGCAAGGTGAGGATCCAGGTCATACTATTTGGGATGCACTAGCAGGTGCCATAGAAATTGAGCAAGAGGCTTTGCAATTGCAAGTGTACCCTAGTTTTGCTCTATAGGTAGGCCTAGATGACAATCTTCCATACTTTTTTGTAATTCAATCATTTTCAGGTATGAGATGGGCTTTGTCACAGGCATTATTACATTCACAGGGGAGTGCTGAGCCCACAGGGGTCATAAAGCATAATTTATTGCATCTGACATTTGGAATGATATAAATTCTAGCCACGATGCTAGATGGATTACAGACAAGGTCCAGTGATATCCTTAACCCTTTGACTGTCGCAACCCCCAATCCTGAGGTGTCTCCTGGTGTCGCAAAATTTAAAAAAAAAAAAAAATTATTTTTTCTTATGAAATGATAGAGAATCTTTTCCCGATTGTAATGACACAAAAAAAACGAAATTTGATGGAAAACTGACGGAATCATGCTCTCGCGAAGTTAGCGACCTCAGCGATGTTTACAAATCGGCGATTTCGCCAACTTGGAGCCCTATTTTCAGCTAATTCCATTGTTCCAGTCACCCAAACTCATAGCTATTTCTTTAGAACCCCATTTTTTCTATCGATTGAGTACAAGAAACTGCCCATTTACCGATTTCAACTACCTAATAATGTGGTCAGAAATTTGGAATTTGGCCAATTTCACGAAAATTAAAAATATGACAATTTCAAAATAAGGTCCAGAATGAACAATGCAAACATTCCTGGCTCTAAAATAACATTTTCTTTGTTCATCAGTCACATCTCCAGTCCCCTCTGATATTATTCTTGCTTTCTATTTTGAATTTTTATTCAAACAAAAAATAGAAGACTTACTATTATGCAGACTACTGCAATACTGTAATAATTGTATAAATAACATCAACCCATTCGTGACTGCATATTAGAATGGCTAATTGGACATTTATTGGAAAATGGCATCATTTGTTTACTTTTGAACATTGGCAAAAATCAAACATTTCCCCTACTTTGAGCTCCATTTCTAGGTTCTTTTTATAGTAAAATCAATCAAAATCACCTCTATTTCTATAATATGTTTTCCATTCTATCAAATGAGACCACGAAAATGAGAATACAACCATAAATACTATACGAAAATAGACCACAAAGTTGGCATTTTAATTAAAAAAAACGGTCGGAGTTTTTTTTTTTCTCATTATGCACTGCGTGCTCCAGGATTTTTTTTATATGGTGCACACTGACCACACAGACCCATTCTCTCACATGTGGGCCTACCAGCTTTCTCCTGCTTGATTTGAAGCCGCTAGAATTTATGAGTATATATACGTCAAACACGGTACCTCATAAGACGTACATATACGGCCGCGACAGTCAAAGGGTTAATGGTTTTGTATGAGACAATAGTCACATCAATCGGGCAGGTGGCATGCCTGTCTTTTGACCGGCAGACAAGCTCGAGCCTCTGCTTGTAACACCAAATGACCCGTGCTGGTTTAGCATCCCACAAATTTAGTTTCACTTGACTTCATGAAGGAAGAGTGCAACTATAGTGGCAAGTGTTACCAGTGGAAAGCACTTTCCATGAGAGTGAGAAAAGAGGTGAATAAGGTCATTCTTACTGATGGGTTTTCTGTAGCCCTCTAAGGCATCTTTCTAGCCTTTCCTAGAGTTGGTGCTACCCTTTCCCGGCAGCTCATTAAACCTATTATTATTATTATTATGGAGAAGCTCTAAATCCTAAGTGGTCATACACTACCTGGGGAATGGAAGGCAAACAGATTTGATCAATGGCAATAAATAGTAGCTCCATTTCCTTGGATCAAGAGTACGTACTTCACTGGCAACAAGGTAAACAATGGTAAACTAGGATTTTAAGTACAGTGGACCCCCGGTTTACGATATTATTTTATTCCAGAAGTATGTTCAGGTGCCAGTACTGGACGAATTTGTTCCTATAAGGAATATTGTGAATTAGATTAGTTCATTTCAGACCCCCAAACATACACGTACAAACGTACTTACATAATTGGTCGCATTGGGAGGTGATCGTAAAGCGGGGGTCCACTGTATTATATTCTGAATTGCTGTATTAGTACAAACTATCAATTGCTGACCAAGTAAACCTGAGTATTGTTTGCACATGATGTTACTGGAGAAGGTATCTACTAGTGCCTGTCAAGCATGTGCAAGTAATGGTATGCTTACCTCTGACAAATTGCAATGAAAGTTAGCTGAAGGATTTTGAAGTTCCTGAGACCTGCTCTGCTACTGTGTTATTGCATTCCTGTCAAGAGAGACACTGAGGAGAATTGGTGCAGTAGTGGGGGGTCTGGATGTCGATTTTGTTGTGGTCTGCTAAAACTGTTTGTTAGCCCAGTACATTGTCACCCTGCTGGCTGATCCTCGGCCTGATTCATTCCACAAATATGGCATTTTGGTGCAGGAGGTCACTAATTTCACTTGCAGCAACATTTGAAAACTTTGCAGCTCCTCCTTATGACCATACATCCTCAAGGCCAGCCATGCATGTACAGTGAACTACGTACTTGAATAATGCCATCCTGCATCCTCACTCAGGAATTTCTAGGGGTGTAACCAAGATTGAGAGAATTGTTTGCTTGATATATATACAGTGGACCCTCAGCTAACGATATTAATCCGTTCCTGAAAGCTCATCGTTAGCTGAAATTATCGTTAGCTGAATTAATTTTCCCCATAAGAAATAATGGAAATAAAATTAATCCATGCAAGACACCCCAAAGTATGAAAAAAAAATTTTTATTACATGAAATATTAATTTTAATACACGCAAACTGACACTTACCTTTATTGAAGATCTGGTGATGATTGATGGGAGGGGAGAGTGTGGAAGTTGTTAATGTTTAGAAGGGGAATCCCCTTCCATTAGGATTTGAGGTATCAAGTCCTTTTCCGGGGTTACTTCCCTTCTTCTTTTAATGCCACTAGGACCAGCTTGAGAGTCACTGGACCTCTGTCGCACAACAAATCTGTCTATAGAGGTCTGTACCTCCCGTTCCTTTAAGATTTGCCTAAAATGGGCCACAACATTGTCACTGTAATAGTCACCAGCATGGCTTGCAATAGCTGTGTCAGGGTGATTTTCATCCATAAAGGTTTGCAGTTCAACCCACTTTGCACACATTTCCTTAATCTTTGAAGTAGGCACAATGGATTCCACAACTGGCATAGGCGTCTCAGGGTTAGCCCCAAACCCTTCAAAATCTTTCTTAATTTCCATACTAATTCCCACCCTTTTTATCACAGGGTTGGCACTAGAAGCTTTCTTGGGGCCCATGGTGACTTATTTTGCAGGTACAATCACAAAAAACGCTGTGATAATATGAAATGTTCCGATTGTATGCGTGGATGTGACCACACTGGCTGGCTTGTAAACACTGGCACCCACGGAACAATTGAGGCGCACTCAGGCCACACGTGGATGTGTCTCAAACGAATCGCGTTGGGCGAGTTTTTTAGCGTTAGCCGAGGCAAAATTTTTGCGTTAAAATGTATCGTTAGCCGGATTTAACGTTAGCTGAGGGTCCACTGTACATATGTATACACATGCAGGTTTATTTACATGAAATTTGTGACAAATACGTATTTACATTTTACTGAGTGAACCATATACATACTACTAATCAAGTGGGTAATACATTTGAATAACCCACATTCAAGAATACAGAAATAACATGAATTTGTTTGATTTACTAGAGAGACTCCTTAAATGCTGCTGAGCTGCTGCAGCATCTAAGGTGTGTCACTAGTAGTCGGAAAATATTTGTGTTATTTCTGTGCTGTTTAATGTGAGTTACTTGAATGTATGTATTGTTTTAGATACAGCACTCACATATTTAGTATTACGTAAACTTTTAACATTGTGAATATAGCTAAATTTTTCATTTATTTAAATACAAATTACAGTATATACATTCACAAACATTAGGATGTATATGAAGGTGTCACTTACCCTGGAAGTGATGCCTCTTTTATGGCCAAATGTGCCATACCACGGCATTCACCCACCCAGCTCGAGACTATTTAGAATCTCCATGCGTTTGTAGGCCTTCAGTATTCTCTCCTGCACAAGGTGAAGAGTTTTCCACCAGGTAGATGTGTGTGTTGTCAAACTAGACTTGCATTTTGTCCGTGTACATATCACAGCCTCTTTTATGCCCTCTCTCCAAGCTTTCCTACCCATCATATATTCCACCCCAGATTTAAATACATTCTTCATCATCCTATCCTTTTCTATTCTCCACATGCCCAAACCACTTCAAAAACCCCATGTCATCTTTTAATTTTTATGCTCTAAAATCTCTGTATATTCACACTACAAATCACTTTTAAACATGACATCTCTGCTCCAAATTTGAAATACTATAAATAATTGACATTCTGGCATAACATTGTTTAGAAATATTCAACATACATGTTATTTTCATATATGTACATATAAGCTAAAAAAATAATATGCTGGTGGTATTAAAAATAAAGCAGCTTTATTTTTCCAAAATTCATTTGGAATTTTTGGTAAAATTTGTGAGGGTAGGCTATCAGCTTTTATGAGTTATAAGCAAGCTTGCCTGTGGCCTAGTTAGTGTGGAACCACCATAAGGAGAGGATACATGTGTTGTCACTCAGCAAGAGGCTCCATAGTTCATGTGTGATGTGGTTGGTTGTTGAAGTTAGTTACAAAAGACTGCAATCTATTTAGATAAGAGTTTTGGTGCTCCTGGTTGTTGCAGTCGGTACAATGGGTGGATTCTAGAGAAAATGGCAGGCTGCTTAAAATAATTTTCTTGAAGGTCACAAAAAAAAGTGATTTACTTGGGAGAGGAAAATGTTCTCATTCCATTTATGCAGTAAGCAGGTTAATATATTCAAGTCACTTATCAAACACACACTGACCAACATGAAACAACTGGGTAAAGCCTTCAAGGGCAAGTCTAATGGCATTGTACTTTGCTGGGAAGCTGTCATATAATGCTTGCTGTACTCGTGTCTCAAGTTTGACTTTCAAATGCTCCTTGTCATTTATATTGCTTTGCTCAATAATTCCATCCAGCATATCTTCTAAACTGTCCATGTCTTCTTCAGCATCAAAGCTGTCTAGTTTACCCTCTAAACTATCAATTTCTTCCTCTTGACTGTTTATAATTTTCTCAAGACTATCAACTTCATCTTCAGTTGTGCACTCTGCCTCTTCCAAGCTGTCAACTTCTAAGTCAAGGTTATGGAAGCCAAAGTCACTCAATGATGAATTATTGCTCTGTGTACTGTCTGCATTTAATTTAATGTTCAGATCACCTGCACTTCTCGGAGACTTAGCGGCCTTGCTGCATCCTCCACTTTTAGTAGATTTGGAATTTTGGAGTGTGAAGTCGTGATGCAACTGAAACTCAACAGGATTCCATGATCCATTATATTTATACTTTACAAGGTCTTCCTTTACCAAGCCACACATGCAACTATGAGGGGAAGCACGTGAGGCCTGCATACTGCAGCTTCCACTACCATCTTCTCTTGAAATCTGTGGCTGGGTGTGCCACAAATGGTGGAAAACAGAGTCCACAGACCAGTCAAACCTTGTTGAGGATCCACCTCTGGGCTGTAGAGCCAATTCCATGAATACACGAATGAATGCGCTTGCTACCTGAATGATGAGAAATAAGTACATTATAAAAGCTTTACTTCTACAAAATACAAATTTAAGTCCTGCATTTATCTCTATGATATATATACAGTGTATATATATATATATATATATATATATATATTTATATATATATATATATATATATATTCTTCTTCTTTCTTTCAACACACCGGCCGTATCCCACCGAGGCGGGGTGGCCCAAAAGGAAAAACGAAAGTTTCTCCTTTTACATTTAGTAATATATACAGGAGAAGAGGTTACTAGCCCCTTGCTCCCGGCATTTTAGTTGCCTCTTACAACACGCATGGCTTACGGAGGAAGAATTCTGTTCCACTTCCCCATGGAGATAAGAGGAAATAAACAAGAATAAGAACTAGAAAGAAAATAGAAGAAAACCCAGAGGGGTGTGTATATATGTGCTTGTACATGTATGTGTAGTGTGACCTAAGTGTAAGTAGAAGTAGCAAGACGTACCTGAAATCTTGCATGTTCATGAGACAGAAAAAAGGACACCAGCAATCCTACCATCATGTAAAACAATTACAGGCTTTCGTTTTACACTCACTTGGCAGGACGGTAGTACCTCCCTGGGCGGTTGCTGTCTACCAACCTACTACCTATAAATATATATATATATATATATATATATATATATATATTTATTTATATATATAATATAATATAAAATTATATATATATATATATATACTTATATATATATATATATATATATATATATATATATATATATATATATAATATATATATATATATTATAGGTAGTAGGTTGGTAGACAGCAACCACCCAGGGAGGTACTACCGTCCTGCCAAGTGAGTGTAAAACGAAGCCTGTGATTGTTTTACATGATGGTAGGATTGCTGATGTCTTTTGTCTGTCTCATAAATATGCAAGATTACAGGCATGTCTTGCTACTTCTACTTGCACTTAGGTCACACTACACATACATGTACACATTTATTTATACACACTCATCTGAGTTTTCTTTGATTTTATCTTAATAGTTCTTGGTCTTATTAATTTTCCTTTTATATCCATGGGGAAGTGGAATAAGAATCTTTCCTCCGTAAGCCATGCGTGTTGTAAAAGTCAACTAAAATGCCGGGAAGAATGGGCTAGTAACCCCTTTTCCTGTAAAGATTACTAAAAAGAATAAGAAGAAGAAAATTGTCAAAGTGGGAAGTCTGAATGTGCGTGGATGTTGTGCAGATGATAAGAAAGAGATGATTGTGGATGTTATGAATGAGAAGAAGCTGGATGTCCTGGCTTTAAGTGAAACAAAGCTGAAGGGGGTGGGAGAGTTTCAGTGGAGAGGAATAAATGGGATTAGGTCAGGGGTTTCAAATAGAGTTAGAGCTAAAGAAGGAGTAGCAATAATGTTGAAGGATAAGCTATGGCAGGAAAAGAGGGACTATAAATGTATTAATTCAAGGATTATGTGGAGTAAAATAAAGATTGGATGTGAAAAGTGGGTTATAATAAGCGTGTATGCACCTGGAGAAGAGAGAAGTGTAGAGGAGAGAGAGAGATTTTGGGAAATGTTGAGTGAATGCGTGGGGAGTTTTGAATCAAGTGTGAGAGTAATGGTGGTTGGGGATTTCAATGCTAAAGTGGGTAAAAATGTTATGGAGGGAGTAGTAGGTAAATTTGGGGTGCCAGGGTAAATGTAAATGGGGAGCCTTTAATTGAGCTATGTGTAGAAAGAAATTTGGTAATAAGTAATACATATTTTATGAAAAAGAGGATAAATAAATATACAAGGCATGATGTAGCACGTAATGAAAGTAGTTTATTAGATTATGTATTGGTGGATAAAAGGTTGATGGGTAGGCTCCAGGATGTACATGTTTATAGAGGGGCAACTGATATATCGGATCATTATTTAGTTGTAGCTACAGTTAGAGTAAGAGGTAGATGGGAAAAGAGGAAGGTGGCAACAACAAGTAAGAGGGAGGTGAAAGTGTATAAACTAAGGGAGGAGGAAGTTCGGGTGAGATATAAGCGACTATTGGCAGAAAGGTGGGATAGTGCAAAGATGAGTAATGGGGGGGTTGAAGAGGGTTGGAATAGTTTTAAAAATGCAGTATTAGAATGTGGGGCAGAAGTTTGTGGTTATAGGAGGGTGGGTGCAGGAGGAAAGAGGAGTGATTGGTGGAATGATGAAGTAAAGGGTGTGATAAAAGAGAAAAAGGTAGCTTATGAGAGGTTTTTACAAAGCAGAAGTGTTATAAGAAGAGCAGAATATATGGAGAGTAAAAGAAAGGTAAAGAGAGTGGTGAGAGAGTGCAAAAGGAGAGCAGATGATAGAGTGGGAGAGGCACTGTCAAGAAATTTTAATGAAAATAAGAAAAAAATTTTGGAGTGAGTTAAACAAGTTAAGAAAGCCAAGGGAAAATATGGATTTGTCAGTTAAAAACAGAGTAGGGGAGTTAGTAGATGGGGAGATGGAGGTATTAGGTAGATGGCGAGAATATTTTGAGGAACTTTTAAATGTTAAGGAAGAAACAGAGGCAGTAATTTCATGCACTGGTCAGGGAGGTATACCATCTTTTAGGAGTGAAGAAGAGCAGAATGTAAGTGTGGGGGAGGTACGTGAGGCATTACGTAAAATGAAAGGGGGTAAAGCAGCTGGTACTGATGAGATCATGACAGAAATGTTAAAAGCAGGGGGGGATATAGTGTTGGAGTGGTTGGTACTTTTGTTTAATAAATGTATGAAAGAGGGGAAGGTACCTAGGGATTGGCGGAGAGCATGTATAGTCCCTTTATATAAAGGGAAAGGGGACAAAAGAGACTGTAAAAATTATAGAAGAATAAGCTTACTGAGTATACCAGGAAAAGTGTACGGTAGGGTTATAATTGAAAGAATTAGAGGTAAGACAGAATGTAGGATTGCGGATGAGCAAGGAGGTTTCAGAGTGGGTAGGGGATGTGTAGATCAAGTGTTTACATTGAAGCATATATGTGAACAGTATTTAGATAAAGGTAGGGAAGTTTTTATTGCATTTATGGATTTAGAAAAGGCATATGATAGAGTGGATAGAGGAGCAATGTGGCAGATGTTGCAAGTATATGGAATAGGTGGTAAGTTATTAAATGCTGTAAAGAGTTTTTATGAAGATAGTGAGGCTCAGGTTAGGGTGTGTAGAAGAGAGGGAGACTATTTCCCGGTAAAAGTAGGTCTTAGGGATGTGTAATGTCACCATGGTTGTTTAATATATTTATAGATGGGGTTGTTAAGGAAGTAAATGCTAGGGTGTTTGGGAGAGGGGTGGGATTAAATTATGGGAATCAAATTCAAAATGGGAATTGACACAGTTACTTTTTGCTGATGATACTGTGCTTATGGGAGATTCTAAAGAAAAATTGCAAAGGTTAGTGGATGAGTTTGGGAATGTGTGTAAAGGTAGAAAGTTGAAAGTGAACATAGAAAAGAGTAAGGTGATGAGGGTGTCAAATGATTTAGATAAAGAAAAATTGGATATCAAATTGGGGAGGAGGAGTATGGAAGAAGTGAATGTTTTCAGATACTTGGGAGTTGACGTGTCGGCGGATGGATTTATGAAGGATGAGGTTAATCATAGAATTGATGAGGGAAAAAAGGTGAGTGGTGCGTTGAGGTATATGTGGAGTCAAAAAACGTTATCTATGGAGGCAAAGAAGGGAATGTATGAAAGTATAGTAGTACCAACACTCTTATATGGGTGTGAAGCTTGGGTGGTAAATGCAGCAGCGAGGAGACGGTTGGAGGCAGTGGAGATGTCCTGTTTAAGGGCAATGTGTGGTGTAAATATTATGCAGAAAATTCGGAGTGTGGAAATTAGGAGAAGGTGTGGAGTTAATAAAAGTATTAGTCAGAGGGCAGAAGAGGGGTTGTTGAGGTGGTTTGGTCATTTAGAGAGAATGGATCAAAGTAGAATGACATGGAAAGCATATAAATCTATAGGGGAAGGAAGGCGGGGTAGGGGTCGTCCTCGAAAGGGTTGGAGAGAGGGGGTAAAGGAGGTTTTGTGGGTAAGGGGCTTGGACTTCCAGCAAGCGTGCGTGAGCGTGTTAGATAGGAGTGAATGGAGACGAATGGTACTTGGACCTGACGATCTGTTGGAGTGTGAGCAGGGTAATATTTAGTGAAGGGATTCAGGGAAACCGGTTATTTTCATATAGTCGGACTTGAGTCCTGGAAATGGGAAGTACAATGCCTGCACTTTAAAGGAGGGGTTTGGGATATTGGCAGTTTGGAGGGATATGTTGTGTATCTTTATATGTGTATGCTTCTAGACTGTTGTATTCTGAGCACCTCTGCAAAAACAGTGATAGTGTGCGAGTGTGGTGAAAGTGTTGAATGATGATGAAAGTATTTTTCTTTTTGGGGATTTTCTTTCTTTTTTGGGTCACCCTGCCTCGGTGGGAGACGGCCGACTTGTTGAAAAAAAAAAAAAAAAAAAAAAAAAAATATATATATTATATATATATATATATATATATATATATATATATAATATATATATATATATATATATATATATAATTACACCTTAAAATTTAAAGCATGAAAAAGTCAAGATATTTCAGCCATTCTAACTGATGAAAGTTTTTACTAAGTGTTATACACAATGACAATATTTCCAAATCAGTTTGACCTACAAGCCCTGCCTGAAAAAAGAGCATATGGCAACTTTACTTTCAAGATATGGTAAGGTGAGGCATCTGTAAGATCGGTCAAGTGTTGCATGTTTGTGTTAATGAGTTGGCTGACCTGGGTGGCAGCCCATGCCTCCAGACATCCTCCACCAGCCACCACCTTACCATCAACCACCACCATCCTCAAGGCTGCCAGGCAACTCTCTGTTGTCTCCTGAAAAAATATTTCTTTTATTACATTAGATTTATCTTTAAAAAAGTACATACAAATACAGTTACAGAGCTTACATTTTACAAATACAAGAGTTTGGTAAAAAGAGCATATATTGAAAAATATTCTACATAAGAAATTTAGGAAAACAAATAACATAGAGAAACAGGTTAAGCCAAATCTAAATTAACTGGTGTGGGGGTATGACATGGGCAGGTGTGTGGTGAAGCCCGAGATGCCTGGGAAGTCAGTCAAGTCTTGCTCCTAATATTGCAGGTATGTAAATGGTATCAATAAACTCCTGCTATGTTACCTGCTTATTCTTTACCTGGAGTATCACATAAGTAGTCAAGGTTACTGAAATAACCAAATCAAGTCATTATGAGCTATAACAAGATACTTAACAGTGTGAACCTTTATTAGACATTTTGCTAATGAGTTTTATCAAGTTCAATAAAAGCTCCATTTGCTAGATGTATTTATTTTACCTTATCTGTAGTTTACTGTCAATCTTGGGAAATGTTATAGTAAAAAGAAGACATCTTACCTTGAGAGTTGTTAGAGTGCTTGGGCTTGTCACAGGAAGTAAGAGAGTTGAAACTGAGCCCTCAGCATGGTCAAGCAGAATATAACTTTTCCCACTGTAATTAATGTGCTCTACTGTGTTTAACTTCCCAAGAACAGCAGTATTCATTTCCAGAGTTAGATTAGCTAAATTGCTGATGGCCTGGCAACCACTTAGTTTGGTTACAGCTTCAGATAATTTTGTACCCATTCTTTCTAGCACCAAAAATCCTTCTCTTTCTAGTTCAAACTTTATGACTGGATGTACTGGCTTTTGGTTGGCAAGAATGTGGATATTCCTCCTCTTCATACATGAAAGAAGACAAAGAAGAACCTTATTTATGAAGCACTTTTCTTTTGTTTCACTTGCTCTCCAACACACAGATATTGTCTCCCCTTCCACATATAATATGGGTACAGTAAAAAGCACAATATTGATATTGCCTACTCCTTTTAATTTTTCAATTTTTCGAAGACTGATGTCTGGCTCCCTATATAGGACACCATCAAAGACTTTGGAATTTATAGATGAAGATCTCTCTTGGGTGCTCACAGTAACATGGCCAAAACCACCTGAAGAATATTCATTTGGGATGCTCTTCAGAAAGGCTTTAACAATGTTCAGACTGAGATCATCAAGTGCCACTTTGTTAAGACCTAAACAATTCTTTGCTCCAAGAATAGTTTGAACAAAAGATGTAACTTGTTGCATGTCCCCAACATCCAAGTCCATGGTAACCTCATCAGGTGACTGAGTTAGGAGTTCCAATAGTTCAGATATAATCCATTCAGACACATCACTTACTACACGGTGAGGGATGTCCTGCTCACATATGAGGGATTCTTCTAATAATCTGACACAGAGCATCCCAGTGTAGAGACCATTAAGGCCACATGCTGCATTCTGGGCACTTATCAGGGCATTAATATATTTCACACTTGGATGGGCAAATGATAACTCCTTAATGATTTCAGATGAAGATGCAGCCAATGTTTCCCTCCCTACAGCATTAGATATCAAAATAGAACTGCCCCGTGGTCCATACGCTGAGAAAAGTAGTTTCCGGTACTCTTTTAACATTGAGATATATGCCAGGTCTTGCACACTATGGCAGTATATGCCCCTCACACGCTCTTCATCTAAGCGCACACTTGACATACTGCAAAAGAAAGATTTACATACTGTACTGCTAGTGAAATTAGCAAAATTCATCATCATTTAGCAAAAAAGAAAAAAAAAAACACGAACTATTCTGAGGCATACTTTCTCTCACATATGACTTCTCAAGATTACCTACATAATAAACAGAAGAATATAGGATTCAAAGACTAAAAATGTCACTAATTTTGTTTGCAATAAACCTTTTTCATAAGTAGTGATATTTGTATTAATATTACAATAATAATAATAATAATAATAAAGATAAAAATGTACGTTGCATATAAGTTAAATGTTACAGGTTTGGGGTAACAGGTTGTTTATGTACTGCTTAGAAAAGTCTGCATTTCAAGCACTTAATCAATACTAACTGCTTAAGATTTTGCCTGGCTGGAATGAAACAACTGAGATGGAGATTGTTAATACAATAAGAGAACTCTCATGACTTGACCTGATCTTAATCTCCTTTCCTTATCTCTTCTCTCCTATATTTTCTCTGCCTTTCCTTTCTTCTACCTAGATGTGTTCTGTCTTATGTAGTTTTTTCCCTCCCGTGTTTTTGGTCCTACCCTTTCTTCCTCCACTTCTACTACTACTTCTGTTGCTATTACTATTACTACTATTACCTCACTTCACTCCACACACTGATTCTTGTACCACTACAACTTCTCTCCTACCCACTACAACAACAACTACTACTACTACCTCTTCCACTACTATCTCCACTTCCTTCTTTTTTTCCATCTCTCTTCCTCCAGTCTCTGCCCTTCTCTTGTACATATACTGGCTCCCTTACCTTTGTGTGTTAGTGTGTGACTAGTTAATGGTCCAAGTCAGACCGAAACACCATCAAAAGTTTTTTTCTCCTACATGCAGGTTATTTGTGTACATATATGTGAATACTTCTGTAGGTTAAGTAAGTTTAACTGTGCATTCTACATCTACATGACAAATGCTAACTCACACCTAAAATTCTCATTTGATAGATTTAATTTTTTAACAACGGCTATTTTCCACTAAAGTAGGATGAACCACAACCAATACATTCATAACCACCCACTCAATAGCTGTCTTGCCAGAACTGCAATACCCCCATTCCTTCAGTCCAGGCACTATACTTCTCACCTTCAATACTGAGTCAAGCTAACCATTTTCCATGAATACTTTCATAGATATTATTTTGTTAGCACCCCAACAGCACAGAAAATTCCAAACCCTGCTTGCCCCTATTCACACACGATTGCTGGACGCTCAACCCACCATCACTTAATACATAATAATATAGTACAAGAAATAAATACCTCTTTGATATGCCACTTGTACACTTGAATGAAGCAGAAATTCTATGCATTGATATCAAAGGCTCAAAAATATGGAACAATCTAATTATTCTAATGTAAACCAACTACAGTATACAATATTTAAAAGAAATTTCAATGAAAACTGCCTAAACAGTGTAAATTCAGCTATCCTAGATCATAAAGTACAGTACTGTAATACAGATACAGAAGGGCCCCACTGATACAGCAGGTTAGGTTCCAGGCTACTGCTGTAAAGAGAAACATAGCCCTTTTTTCACTTTCAATGCAAACAAAAGCCTAAAAAATGCATGTACAGCATACACATTAATTTTTCAACAAATTGGCTATATCCCACTGAGGCAGGGTGACCTATAAAGAAAAATGAAAGTTTCTCTTTTTAAATTTAGTAATGCATACAGGGGAAGGGGTTATTAGCCTCTTGCTCCTGGCATTTTAGTAGCCTTGTACAACATGCATGGCTTACAGAGGAAGAATTGTGTTCCATTTCCCCATGGAGAACACATTACTTACCTTAAAACATTGTTAGTCCTTAATTCATAATGATTAGTGAATACTGTATATTTATTCTAGGAAATTTTGAACAAATGAAGAATGAGTATAATTGAAAATCGGTGCATTAGCGAAACACCATAAAGTGAAGCACTATAAAGCAGGGCCCTCCTGTAGTACTATAATTTAAGCTTTATGTATGCTTCACACCAGCTTGAATCATATTTATGGCTTAAAACATCACTCAATATTATCTGTGGGAGGTTATATGGTGAAATTGGGAATTTTTTTTTTTTTTTACAATTTGAAAGAGCATTTTTTTTCTTTTTTACTTTTTTCATTAACACATCAGGCGCTTCTGAGAGGCAGGGTGACCCGAAAAAGAAGAAACACTTTCATCATCACTCATTCCAGCACTGTCTTGCCAGAGGCATGCCTACAATACAGTTCAAAAACTAACATATCTCCACCCCTCCCTCAGAATACAGGCACTATGAAAAATTAAATGAAAAGAAAAATAAAGATTTTATAGTGTGTTAAGTTAGTGAAAAATTATCACTCGGCAACAACAGCGGTGTAAATAACCATAGAAGAGTACAGGGCCCTGTATTTCATGTTTTACAAGTTATTAATGCCAAATTATTTTCATTTTTCCACATAACACCATGTACACTAGTTTCTTATATTAGATATTTCAAGGTGTTTTAGTATTCAAATTATGGGGATATATTTATTTATGGGCATGTGGCATTATCATAGGTGTTGCAAAGAAAAGATACATCTCTGCAGTAGTATAGTGTCTTTCTGTTGTTGCAGCCAAGACTTCACTGAAATACCTGTAGTAGCAACCTGTACTGGTAATAATTTCTAATCTTCATAGGCATCTCATCAAAAAATAATTGGAAATAATCAAGGTAATCAGAATTGTAAATAAGTTTTATTGAGGCTTTGTATATACATACATTGGAGTAACACGCATGTTACAGGCACAAAAAAACCACACTATGTACATCTAAGCTAGGATAACCTAATGATGTCAACAATGTGACTTTTCTGTTCCATCTGTTAATGGACAATTTGGCTGAAATGCATTTAGTATCATCAAACTGTGATAAATTTAGAACAAATACAGCATCTTCCTGTCAGTTCCACAAGTTTTCTGGGAGAGTTGTCTCCTTTCAACAAAATACACTTGTGTACATGTGCTACTGAGAAAGATGCCATGATGCATTGCATGAACCCACCTGCACAAACATTTCTTTCTTAAGGACAAGGAGGTGGTAGGCAACTGAAACAGTTGAGCCAAAGCCTAAAATAATAGCGCACAGCAAATCTGAAGGTACAAACATTACGTTTAAAACGTTGTATACAGTTCAGCCCCTAGAGTAAGTTTACGTTGCACATGATTAAAGGTTAATCTTGAGGCAGACATTTTTTTTTACTTGTATATCTAATATCAACCATATGCTGGTTCTTTATTTTACTTCTGATCTTATTCTCGGCATTACGAAGTAAGGATATCTTCTCCTCTGGAGGGACATCTGATCTGTCGTATTTGTGCACCTCTGGCAAGAATGGTGTGAATGATGGTGAAAGTGTTTCTTTTTCGGGCCACTGTACCTCAGTGGGAGATGGCCAGTGTGTTAAAAAATAAATATACATACGTATATATGATCTTCAATCCACGTAATTCACATAAATCCCACTGTTAGCCTTTCAGGATAAGTTCTATATATGTATATGTAATTTAAATTCAACATGTTATTAAGATTTGCCTAAATTTGCCTCACATCTGTTTCAAGCTGTCACTAAGCAACCCGCTAAACACTGAGTTAACAATGCCATTCAATTAACTTATCAAACTTTAAAATTACATCAGGTTTGGTGCCTCTCCATGAACATAAAAATAATTTAAAATTACCTACTTAACAAATATATACAGAATGAAGAAGACCACTATTCCTTTTTGAGTCCTAGTTTATTCTTCAACTCTTGTTCAATATACTTGGCACCCTGTAAGTAAAAGAAAATCTAGTTATATTACAAGGGCACATCAACAAAGTATTGAATTACTGCTCAAGACTACAAATGAATGGCACAACATTTAACAAGAATGCATTAAAATTAGAGGAAAATAAATTTCAAAGTTATACAGTTTATATATGGAAGTGGCTTAAGAAGTTGCACAAGTATAAATAAAAAACAACATCTGAATAATGCTAAGGTAAACATGAAATATGTGACACACATGAATGATTAAAGAAAGGCAAGTATACAGTATACTGTACAAAAGTCTTACCATTCCATGAAGATAGCACATGATGCTGATAACATGTAATAATATAGCTGCATAGTTAAAGACTGCCATTTTAATGACCCTGGTGATAATCTGTCATTGTCAAAAAAAAAAAAAAAAGCACTAATGAGTCTGGCTAGTAAGTAAGCAAGTAAATGAACGAGCTTCACCTGGATAACTGGCAGATCCTTGCGTTGCTGCTTGGGTACAAACAATTCAATATCTTGAATCTTTTGCCAGCTGTAGTGTAAACCAATGATCGTTGGCAGCATAACAAGCAGCACAATGTTCCTCCTCACAAACTCTCTTGCTCGACCTAATTGGACTCCCATGTCTAAAAAAGAGGAGCAAGATGCTTCTATTAAGAGGGAGCAGAGCCTGTGGCTGTAGCAAACATGCACACACTGTAACAGCAAAATGTACTGCATAGTATTCATTACTGATGATCTAACTTAGAAAAATTGTATTTAGTAAATGAAAAAGGCTATGTATAATATAGGCAGTGACCTAATGGTGGTCTACTGAGAGGCTTCAAAATTGATTTCTGAATTTCTCTCACCTCTCCCTTTCATTGTATTCTTTTTTGACAAAAAATATTCTTCTAAGTTTCATGACAACTGGACTTCATTTACTGGTGCCCCACAGACCAAATTTTCAGCCCTTCACTAGTAAGTTTATTCAAGTACAGGTACACATAAATACAGTTACGTAAATTATCATACATAGCAGCATATGTGTAGATTACCCAGGATAACCCAAAAAAGTCAGACACAGTGACTTATTTCCATTGGGGTCCTTGTAATATCTTATTATTTAAACCTTAAAAGTTAAAACAGCTAAGTAATTCAACCATGTGAAAAGAAGTTATAATAAAAGGAGATGTACTAGGAATAAGGCAAACTCAGTTATTTACATTACTGCTTTACACAGTAATAGGTACTGTATGTTTGCTATACAAGAAATCACTCTCCTCCCTTTCTGTAGGTACATACATTAAGTACCTTTTGAAATGTACCTAATAGGGAGAAGAAAATTTCTTTCTGAATTTCTTTCTCCTCTCTGTCTCTCAGATGTACTGTGAAACCAATCCTGGTAAGTAACGCTCTTGCTTCACACACTAAGTGTCCGTGGTTTGATCCTTGGAAAGGGTGGAAACAGTAGATGTTTCCTTACACCTGTTGTCTCATTCACCTAGCAAGCAAGTAGGTACCTGGGTGCTAGTCGACTTGGATGGGTTGCATCCTAGGGGCGAAGATTGAGGACCCCAGTGGAAATAAGACAGACAGTCCCTCGACGACGCACTGCCTTTCTTGGGTTATCCTGGGTGGTTAACCCTCCAGGAATAAAAATCCAAACAAAATCTTATCTTATCTGACTTATTCTGTGGTGTATGTACATAAATTGTAGGTACTGTAAAATGTAACCAGCCCAAATGGTATAAGAAATAAGATTAGGGGAGAAAAGACAGGCCCACAATGTACATAAATGTGCAGAAAAATAAACAGATAAGAAGAATAAAGTTGATCCCATATATAAGAAACCTTTCCTAGAAAGATGAGCTAAAGGCACTGATCTTGCATTCTCTGGAAAGACAGAATTTGGGGAGATGAAAGGTATACAAATGGAAACCAGGAATAGTCATATAGGGAAGTACTATTTTAGCAGTAGAGTTGCAGATGAGTGGAACTCGCAAGTTATGTCACTGTGGCAAGAACTTTGAGTAGATTGAACTATATAATTACAATTATTACATTCAAAACTAAGTGCTAAACCCACAAGGATCATACATGCTGAACATGAACTATAAACTGGACAGATATATGAATGGGTGTGGATGGATGAGAGTTAAACCTGCCATGCATGGACCAGTAGGCCTTCTGTTCCTTCATTTCTGTTTTCTTATGTAGTACTAAAATAATGCAATAATTACCTTGTTAATGAGGTGATTGATTTAAACATTTTCTAGGTTATTAACTTTGCATAAATCCAAATTATATTACATAAGTCCTTTATTGTTATATTTATGGCAAATGCTAAACCTGTGGGAGTAATACAGGGCCTGAGGGAAATGGGGGGCATTTATACTTGATCCATTGAAGGGAAGGATAAGTCCAATTCCATGGATCAAGATCCCTTCTCTGGCTTCAAGAAGCCTCCCTCGAGGGGTAAAGTAGTAACTTAGCTTAGTTGGTAGTGCACCCAGTTAGTACTATTCACTCTTCTATCCCTACTTCGCATATGCCATTTGTGCTTGGGGATCAACAGCTATTACCCACCTAAATCCAATAATAACCCAACAAAAAGCTGCAGTAAGAATTATTACACAATCCAATGCTAGGCAACACACCCCCACTCTTCAAAGACCTAAACTTACTCACTGTAGCAGGTCGCCCCAGTCTGGATCACTACGACAAGGTCCTAGATGCACTAGAAGACAAAAAGAATGCAGATGTAATATATACAGACTTTGCAAAAGGCTTCGACAAGTGCGACCATGGCGTCATAGCGCACAAAATGCGTGCTAAAGGAATAACAGGAAAAGTTGGTAGATGGATCTATAATTTCCTCACAAACAGAACACAAAGAGTAGTAGTCAACAGAGTAAAGTCCGAGGCGGCTACGGTGGCCTGGTGGCTAAAGCTCCCGCTTCACACACGGAGGGCCCGGGTTCGATTCCCGGCGGGTGGAAACATTTCGACACGTTTCCTTACACCTATTGTCCTGTTCACCTAGCAGCAAATAGGTACCTGGGTGTTAGTCGACTGGTGTGGGTCGCATCCTGGGGGACAAGATTAAGGACCCCAATGGAAATAAGTTAGACAGTCCTCGATGACGCATTGACTTTCTTGGGTTATCCTGGGTGGCTAACCCTCCGGGGTTAAAAATCCAAACGAAATCTTATCTTATCTTATCTCTGTTCCACAAGGCACAGTACTTGCTCCCATCTTGTTTCTCAACCTCATATCTGACATAGACAAAGATGTCAGCCACAGCACCGTGTCTTCCTTTGCAGATGACACCCGAATCTGCATGACAGTGTCTTCCATTGCAGACACTGCAAGGCTCCAGGCGGACATCAACCAAATCTTTCAATCGGCTGCAGAAAACAATATGAAGTTCAACAATGAGAAATTTCAATTACTCCGATATGGTAAACATGAGGAAATTAAAACTTCATCAGAGTACAAAACAAATTCCGGCCACAAAATAGAGTGCAAAACCAACGTCAAAGACCTGGGAGTAATCATGTTGGAGGATCTCACCTTCAAGGACCATAACATTGTATCAATCGCATCTACTAGAAAAATGACAGGATGGATAATGAAAACCTTCAAAACTAGGGATGCCAAGCCCATGATGACACTCTTCAGTTCACTTGTTCTATCTAGGCTGGAATATTGCTGCACACTAACAGCACCTTTCAAGGCAGGTGAAATTGCTGACCTAGAAAATGTACAAAGAACCTTCACGGCGCGCATAACGGAGACAAAACACCTCAATTACTGGGAGCGCTTGAAGTTCCTGAACCTGTATTCCTTGGAATGCAGGCAGGAGAGATACATGATTATATACACCTGGAAAATCCTAGAGGGACTAGTACCGAACTTGCACATGAAAATCACTCACAACGAAAGCAAAAGACTTGGCAGACGATGCAACATCCCCCCCAATGAAAAGCAGGGGTGTCACTAGCATGTTAAGAGACAATACAATAAGTGTCAGGGGCCCGGGACTGTTCAACTGCCTCCCAGCATATATAAGGGGGATTACCAATAGGCCCCTGGCAGTCTTCAAGGTGGCACTGGACAAGCACCTAAAGTTGGTACCTGACCAGCCGGGCTGTGGCTCGTACGTTGGTTTGCATGCAGCCAGCAGTAACAGCCTGGTTGATCAGGCTCTGATCCACCAGGAGGCCTGGCCACAGACTGGGCCATGGGGGCATTGGCCCCTGGAACTCTCTCCAGGTAAACTCCAGGTAAACAGTTCAGAACATCCACACTTACTACTCTGCAATCTACATTTACAGAAACATAAATTCCAATATTAACCCTGAACCAAAACACTTTCTGGAAAGATATGACAAGACCCATAGGCATAATACCAGACACAAACATCTCTATGACATTCCCTGCATCTGGCTAAATCTATACAAAAATTCAATGTACATAAAAGGGCCTAAAATCTGGAACTCCCTGGCTGAAAACTAGAACTGCTGACTCAGCAACCATTTTCAAAAGCACTGTTAAAAAACACCTTATCTCCCTAACACACCCACTGGCAGCTAACCACATGAAAGCTACCTTAGCTTGCACATATCCAAAACAAAATACACTTATCTGATATCTCTGACTCCCCCTAATTTACACTAATGACTGTAAAGATAAAATTCTGAAAATAGCTTCTGCTCCATAATTCTTAAGTTAGTCATAGTCTGTCAAGGACACTCCAATATAGGAGCATTAACAGAAACTGTATCATGTCAAGACCAGACCATTCCCATTAACAGATAAACTAATTGTTAATTTCTTTAATGTTTTGAACTACATCACTTTTGTAAATCTAGTTCATCAGTACAGCGACCTCACTTTAATATCTGTATGATATTGTCAGTATAATCCATTACTTGTGTTAATACAGAGTTAGGAATTAGTATTACTCTCCCCAAAATGCCTAGGCATACTAGTGGCCTTCTTTGTAATAAGTATTTTATAATATGTAATATGCAATAATATTTTATAATATGTAAACCCTACATTGTAATAACAACAGAGAAATAAAGAATTTTAATTTTAATGAGTGTTCGTGGTTCGATTCCCAGTACGGGTGGAAACTTTTTTTTTTTTAATATACCTACTGTCCATGTTCACCTAGCAGTAAGCAGGTATCTGGAAGGTGTTATTCACCTTACATCTGTTGTCACTGTTCACCTAGCAATAAGTAGATACCTGGGTGTTAGGTAACTGGTGTGGGTCGCATCCTGGGGACAAAATTAACCTAAGTTGAGGGAAACGTTCTGCATAACCAGGATCTTTCTATATATCACTGATATCACCTATGACCTGCAGAAGTTGTATCGTATACTTGAAGAAATAAAAATTATTATAATTACACCTGGTGTTATAATTAAGGGCACCGATGGAATGAGGTATCTATACCCAGATGAATTACATCAGGAAACAACAAAAAATAAGGGTTATCATTACCCTGGGCAGCGAGTTATGAGATATTAACGTTTAAAAAAGTGGGTAGATAAGTATGGTGAGAAAAAGAGAGAGAGAGAGAGAGAGAGTCACCATCAGTACTGAGAGGAACTTCTTCATTACCTGTTATGTTGATGGCTGCTGGAACCTCCACATATCACTACTCGTGCAAATATAAACAAATGCAGTATGAAATTACGTGCAATATCTGGGTATCTTTATTGTAGATGTTTCGCCATCCAGGGGCTTTATCAATACAAGTTCCAGGACGTGATTTAAAGACAGTGGAAGTATATATGGCAGATGTGGTGATCAGTCCCTCAGTCTTGGAGTTGGAACTTGTATTGATCAAGTCACTGGAGGGCGAAACATCTACAATAAAGATACCCAGATGTTGCACATGTCTTAATTTCATCTTGTCGGTATTGTATACCATTCTTGTACAAATGCAGTATAATGCTATCTTTTATTGACAACGTTTCGCCCACACTGGGCTTTTTCTAGCCACAGTCAGATCTACCTGGGTGAATATTACATGATTATTTATAGAGTGGAGGATGCTCCACCTGACTCTCCCACACTATATATACTTCTGTAATATTCACCCAGGTAGATCTGTTTGTGACTCGAAAAATTTCACTGTGGGCGAAATGTTGTCAATAAAGGATGGCATTATATACTGCATTTGTGTTTATTTTTCCATCATCTTGGTATTTTATACCATTTATCTCCATCATCACTCTTATAAGACTTCCATGCCAACCCTCGTTGGGTGTGGGCATCTCTCTCTCGCCTGGGTACCTGTCATAATTTTTCCCCACTTTCTCTGGGGCACCTATCTTTATCTACCTTGCCCGCCGGGCACTTTACAGAAGGGGCACCTGGTCATCGGCTTAATTTCAGCCAAAACCCTAATGGAAATGAGTCACTGTCTTGACTTTGTCGGGTTATCTTAGGTTCCTATACATATGCTGATATGTATGATATTCCATGTAATTATGTATACCTGACTAAACTTACTAACCCTCATGTGGCATGAACCCTCCGGCGGTGTGAACCCTTCTGCGTTATAAACCCTCCTGTAGTATGAACCCTCCTGTAGTATGAACCCTCCTGTGGTATGAACACTCCTGTGGTATGAACCCTTCTGTGTTATGAACCCTCCTGCAGTATGAACCCTCCTGTGGTATGAACACTCCTGCGGTATGAACCCTTTTGCGTTATAAACCCTCCTGCAGTATGAACACTCCTGTGGTATGAACCCTTCTGCATTATAAACCCTCCTGCAGTATGAACCCTCCTGTGGTATGAACACTCCTGTGGTATGAACCCTTCTGTATTATAAACCCTCCTGTTGTATGAACCCTCCTGTGGCATGAACACTCCTGTGGTATGAACACTCCTGTGGTATGAACCCTTCTGCATTATAAACCCTCCTGCAGTATGAACCCTCCTGTGGTATGAACACTCCTGTGGTATGAACCCTTCTGCATTATAAACCCTCGAATCCCTGCAGTATGAACCCTCCTGTGGTATGAACACTCCTGTGGTATGAACCCTTCTGCATTATAAACCCTCCTGCAGAATGAACACTCCTGCAGTATGAACACTCCCGCAGTATAAACCCTTCTGTGTTATAAACCCTCCTGCAGTATGAACTCTCCTGTGGTATGAACCTTCCTGTGGTATGACCCCTTGCATTATAAACCCTCCTGCAGTATGAACCTTCCTGTGGCATGAACCCTTCTGCATTATAAATCCTCCTGCAGTATGAACCCTCCTAAAGTATGAACACTCCTGCAGTATGAACCCTTCTGCATTATAAACCTTCCTGCGGTATGAACCCTCCTGCAGTATGAACACTCCTACGGTATGAACCCTTCTGTGTTATAAACCCTCCTGCGGTATGAACACTCCTGCGGTATGAACCCTTCTGTGTTATAAACTCTCCTGCAGTATGAACCCTCCTGCAGTATGAACATTCCTGTGGTATAAGCCCTCCTGCAGTATTAAAATTCCTGCAGTATTAACCCTCCTGTGGTATGAACCCTCTTATCTTAACCCACCTGCATTATGAATCCTCCTGCAGTATTGAACCTGGAACCACGTGGCCGTGGCCTGGTGGCAAAGCTCTCGCTTCACAGGTGAGGGATCAAATTCGATTCCCAGCAAAGGGGTTGAAACATTGGGCATGTTTCCTTACAGTGGTTGTCCATATTCATCCATCAGTAATAATGTACTGGGGTATTAGTTGACTGGTGAGGGTTGCATCCTCAGAGAAAATTGCCCTAATTTGCCCAAATGCTCTGCATAAAAAGCAGCTTTCTATATAGTAGTATGTCATTGATGTCAGCTAGGCCTGTATACCTTGTACATGTACTTGTAGCAAATGAAGATATTATTATACTACTGTGCATTTTATATATACAGGACACTTAGAACAAGCTCCAACATGGTGCAGGGTAATATTTAGTGAAGGGATTCAGGGAAACCGGTTATTTTTATATGCAGCTGGACTTGAGTACTGGAAATGGAAAGTACAATGCCTGCACTTTAAAGGAGGGGTTTGGGATATTGGCAATTTGGAGGGATATGTTATATATCTTTATATATGCACCTAAACTGTTGTATCTGGGTGCCTCTGCAAAAACAGTGATTATGTATGAGGTGAAAGTGTTGAATGATAATGAAAGTATTTTCTTTTCGGGGATTTTCTTTCTTTTTGGGTCACCTTGCCTCAGTAGAAGACAGCCGACTTGTTGAAAAAAAAAAATCCAAAGTTAGACAAATTGACTTATTTCCATTGGAGTCCTTGATCTGAATCATCTAAAACCCATTGTCACCCATGAGAAATCAGCTGTTTATGATAATCACCCAAGCAGGTTCCAGAAAACACAAATCCTCACTATTCAGGTCTCAATTTACTCAACATGTAATTCATTTACACTTACACACGGTGCCCCGTGGCCTGGTTGCTAAAGCTCTCGCTTCACACGGCGACGTCTGAATTCGATTCTCAGCGCAGGTAGAAACATTGGGCATCATCCATCAGTAAAATGGGCACCTGAGAGTTAGTTGACTGGTGTGGGTTGCATCCTGGGACAAGGACCTAATTTGCCCAAAATGCTCTGCATAACAAGCAGCTTTCTATATAGTAGCATGTCATTGATGTCAGCTAGGCCTGTATACCTTGTACATGTACTTGTAGTAAATAAAGATATTATTATAATATTGTGGATTTTATATCTCCAGGACACTTAGAGCGAGCTTCAACCCAGCTGCAGCGCAACACACAGACAATACAAAAAATAAGTGTCTCTTTGATATACCATGTGTTCTGCTTAACCTATACAGAAACTCCATGTAAATAAAGGGTCCTAAAATTTGGCACTCACTTCCAGAAGATGCAACAAGATCCATTTCAGCCACCTGCTTCAAAAATGGTCAAAAAATACCTCCTAATTATGACTTAAACCCTACTTAGATAAATAAAGTTAATGCCTGAGGCATCAACAGTAACCCTGTTGATCCAAATCATAGCATTCATATTGATGTCCTCACTATCGTCAATCTGTTGTAACATATCTATTAACCAAAAATATGTTCTTCCTCAGCATTCACCAATGCAAATGTTACACTCTACTAAACTGTTACACAAGATCTCATAATTTTATAAATCATAAACCAAACTGTTCCAGTACATTGCTAGTTTTTTGCAAATTATTGTATTCTAGTAAACTAACCTAATTGTACATCTGCCCAGTATGTAATTATAACTTAATTTTAAGGAAGTAAGCCTCTATATTGAGGGCAAAATATGAGTTGATACTTTTCCAACAGCTTTACTACTGTCTACCAGTGGTATAATAATAATAATAATAATAATAATAATAATAATAATAATAATAATAATAATAATGACTACCTCACTGGCAACTACCCGAACACACTGTTCCTAGCTCCGACTAACCCATATGAAGTCTCCCTTATTATCAACACACTAAAAAACAAGGCAGGAGATTTAAATACCTTACCACCCTTTATATACAAAAAAGTGTCACAAGTGCTATCACCAATCATTGCAACACTCTTTAACAAATCCATTGAATCCTCCACCTTCCCTACAGTTCTAAAAATAGCAAGGGTCACCCCAATCCATAAAGGAGGAGACCAAACAGAGTTGAATAACTATAGGCCAATATCCAACTTACACCCTCTCTCAAAAATCTTCGAAAAATTAATTCATAAACGAATCTACTCCTACCTCATCTCCCAAAACGTACTCAACCCCTGCCAATTTGGATTCAGGCCTAATAAAAATACTAATGATGCTATTATACACATGCTAGAACATATATACACTGCAATAGAGAAAAAAGAAGTCCCACTGGGGATCTTCATTGACTTACATAAAGCTTTTGATACAGTTGACCATGACTTGCTCCACATAAAATTGTCACACTATGGTATAAGAGGGCACTCCCTCAACTACCTCAAGTCATACCTCAGCAACAGAAGCCAATATGTGTACACAAATGGGGCAAACTCTTCCGCACAACCAATTACAGTTGGTGTCCCACAGGGAAGTGTCCTTGGCCCTCTTCTTTCTCCTATACATAAATGACCTACCAAATGCTTCGCAATTACTCAAACCCACACTATGACACTACATATGTCTTCTCTCACCCGAGCCCAGTCATGCTAGCCAATACTGTAAATACCGAATTACAGAAAATATCTACCTGGATGAGGGCTAACAAACTTACACTAAACATTGACAAAACCTACTTCATTCAGTTTGGTAACAGAGCTACAGATGTCCCTCTTAACATAATGATAAACGGATCACCTATCACAAAGCTAACAGAGGGAAAATTCTTAGGAATCCACCTTGATAATAGACTCAAATTTCATACACATATACAACAAATTTCTAAGAAAATTTCCAAGACCGTAGGCATACTATTGAAGATACGGTACTATGTTCCACAGTCAGCCCTCCTGGCCCTATATCACTCTCTTATTTACCCCTATCTCACCTATGGAATTTGTGCATGGGGCTCAACAACAATTACCCATCTCAGACCACTAATTACCCAACAAAAGGCTGCAGTCAGAATGATAACAAATTCCCACTACAGGCAGCACACTCCACCAATATTCAAAACACTAAACCTACTCACCATACAAAACATCCATACTTATTACTGCACCTATTACATACATAGAACACTTAACTCTGATATTAACCCTCCCCTCAAACATCTCCTTGCCAACCTCAACAGAACACATGACCATAACACAAGGCACAGATCACTCTGATGTTCCTCGTGTCCATCTCACGATATGCAAAAACTCAATGCACATAAAAGGCCCTAAAATCTGGAATTTATTACCTGTAAATATAAAAGAAACACTACCTGTTTATAAATTCAAGTCTCTTCTCAAAGATCACTTACTCACCCAAAACCAAATAAATACTGAATAACTGAACCTTATAAATTGTATATCTTAAATGTTTCTCACAATTATATCACATAAATGTTAAACCTAAGACCCAATCTAACTTTGTTATCTTTTAAATACACTACCTAACAGAATACTCCATTCTACTGAATGTACAGCAATGCATGCAACCATATGACCTGTCTTTGTAATACTCATTTGTGCTTTATTGTTATCTGTTTACAATAATGTTTTATCACTGATTACATCATTGCTTAGTTAATCTTAAGTTAATTTTAAGCCTGCCCGTAATGCTATGCATACAAGTGGCTTTGGCATGCTGCTCTTACCTGTATTTTTTTGTACCTCTGTATGTATGTTCAAATTATAAAATACAATAAATAAAAATAAAAATAATATAAATAATAATAATAATAATAATAATAATATTTTACCTAGGTAGTAGGCTGGTAGACAGCAACCACCCAGGGAGGTACTACCGTCCTGCCAACTGAGTGTAAAACGAAAGCCTATAATTGTTTTACATGATGGTAGGATTGCTGGTGTCTTCTGTCTCATAAACATGCAAGATTTCAGGTATGTCTTGCTACTTCTACTTACACTTAGGTCACACTACACATACATATACAAGCATATATATACACACCCCTCTGGGTTTTCTTCTATTTTCTTTCTAGTTCTTGTTCTTGTTTATTTCCTCTTATCTCCATGGGGAAGTGGAACAGAATTCTTCCTCCGTAAGCCATGCGTGTTGTAAGAGGCGACTAAAATGCCGGGAGCAAGGGGCTAGTAACCCCCTGTCCCGTATAAATTACTAAATTTAAAAAGAGAAACTTTTGTTTTTCTTTTTGGGCCATCCCGCCTCGGTGGGATACGGCCAGTGTGTTGAAAGAAAGAAAGAAATAATATTTTATTTTGACATGATACATAGTTGTACAAAGGAATATAATAGTTGAGTGTACATGCCAAAAGCTCCTTGTATGCAGAGCATTTCGGGCAAACTTAAAAGTAACATAAGATATCAGAATAAATGGTCATTAGGTGAGTTACAATGAGTATAAGAGAACTGAGTATTAATAGGTAATGCTATATGACTAATAGGTGAGAATGGAAACTTGTCTATTTATTTATTTATTTTAAAAACATTACAGTAGTTATATAACTAGCTATTTGATGTAGGGGAAACAAATATCCTTGCTGTGTAGTATACATACACAGAAAAACTTTGTATATACACTTATAACCAAAAGAAACATCATTAGGCTAACAAGACATTGGAGATGTCCATAACGTCCTACTGAAGTGGCGTGTTGGAATTACTGGCAGACATTGGTGTATCATTCCTTGTGTTATAAAGATGCCCAAACTCCAGCTTCCTGGATTTCATTGTGCAAGCCAGAATGCGTTTGATGATGTAAGCAATGGTGAGTGGTATCGGTGTCATGGTTGCAACAGCAATAGGGATCACAATGGTAATATCCCCCAGAGGAGCATATTCCTTCAAAGCTACCTGGTGTGAGAAAAACATAAAGAACTAGAAAATGCCATCTCTCCCAACATATAAATTGTAATAGGGATAATAAAAGGAGGGAGGAGGTAAAAGAGGTTTTGTGTGCAAGGGGCTTGGACATGCAGCAGGAATGTGTGAGTGTGTTATATAAACGTGAATGGAGACGGATGGTTTTTGGGACCTGATAAGCTGTTAGAGTGTGAGCAGGGTAATATTTTGTGAAGGGATTCAGAAAACCGGTTAGCCGGACTTGAGTCCTGGAAGTGGGAAGCACAATGCCTACACTTTAAAGGAGGGATTTAGGATATTAACTACTTGGAGTGGCATCTAAACTATCATATCTGAGTGCCTTTCACCATCATTCACACAGTCAGTGATTATGTGTGAATGATGGTGAAAGTGTTTCTTTTTTGGGTCACTCTGCCTCAGTGGGAGATGGCCGATGTGTTGAAAAGAAAAAAAAGGGTCAGCAAATATAATACTGTACTACAAAATGTTCAGTGGCACCAAATGAGAATGTGTTTGTTATATATCATATAATGTTACAGGAGTATCATGCAGATAACACTATAAAATAATCAAATGCACACAAGCATATACTGTACATATTTAAACAAACTTGTGTGTGTTTGTTCATTTTTATGTTTGTATGCATGAGTATGTGTGTGTCTGTGTGTGTGTGGGTTGGGGGGCTTACTACTAAAGACTATTTCATTATGATGCAATGTCTGTACATAGGTGGGTGACATTTAGGTGTGCATGCAGAAAGCCCCTTAATATGCAGAGCATTTCAGGCAATAGTATGCAGACCATTAATTTGTGTAACTTACTAACTCTTATACATGAACATGTGGAAAGAATGAAAACTATCAAATCATAAAACATTAAGAATGGATGAAATAAGAAAAATCAAAAGGCACAAATAAGACAGATTAAGAAAATAAATAATGAGAAAACGTTATTTATTGTAAGTTCGAAGGTACAATGCAAACAAAGTTAATGAAATTTTCCTGCTGTTACCTTAAGAATACCAATAGACAGTCCAGTATTCTGAACACCAGTCTCAATACTGATAGCAATTAACTCCTCCACGTTACGACGACAGACAAGGGAGGCTACCGCACCAAACAGGAAGCCAAGCCATGGCAACAACACACCTGCCACTGCCACCTGCACAAAATAAAAATACATGTTTATAGGTCATTTCTTTCTAATTCAGAGGAGATTTGACAGTTCAAGGAATTCTTTTAAGGTCTTAGGTTATCATACCTTTTCTGTCTTCTAAGATATTACTGTTTCATCCTTCAGTAAGTCATCTCTAAGACAACAAACACATCAAGTTTTAAGACATATTTTCTAAGCTCCATATTTCTGTATTAGATTTTTTTTTTTTCAACAAGTTGGCCGTCTCTCACCAAGACAGGGTGACCCAAAAAAGAAAGAAAATCCCCATAAAGAAAATACATACTTTCATTATCATTCAACACTTTTACCTCACTCATACATAATCGCTGTTTTTGCAGAGGCACCCAGATACATCAATTTAGAAGCATATATAAATATACATAATACATCCCTCCAAACTGCCAATATCCCAAACCCCCTTCTTCTGTATTAGATATGCATACTAAATACTGTACTGTATTAGCAGCATAAGAGATCTGAATACAAGTCAAAGTCAAAGATTTATTTCCACATGATACAATGTTTGTACAGAGATAGGTAACATTTGGTTGTGTATGCAGAAAGCTCATGGTTACGCAGAGCATTTCAGGCAAGCTTAAGTCTTACTTAAAACTACAATGGTAAGTATGTCTTCTAAAATTTGAGTTTGTGATGGTTCTGATAGGTGTATTATGTTGTGTGATAAACAACATCCTAATAGTATATCCTGCATACATTGCTTTGTAGTGAAAATGTTTTTCATCTAGAAAAGCTATTCAAGCTAATATGCAGGACTATCTTAAACATTTATTGAACTGATAGTGATTTTCTGGAGATAAATGTACTTAAAAGATTAATTTTGTCTGTTATTTATGAGATGGTACATAAACTAATATGGGTTTAGTATTTTTTAATATGCTACAACTACTACTACCAATAATAATAATGATAATAATATTAAGACTTCCCACTTTGACAATTTTCTTCTTATTCTTTTAGTAATTATTACAGGAAAACGGGTTACTAGCCCATTGTTCCCGAATTTTAGTTGACTTTTACAACACGCATAGCTTATGGAGGAAAGATTCTTATTCCACTTCCCCATGGATATAAAAGAAAAAATAATAAGACCAGAACTATTAAGATAAAATCAAAGAAAACTCAGATGAGTGTGTATAAATAAACATGTACATGTATGTGTATGGGGAGAGGGAGGTATTAGGTAGATGGCGAGAATATTTTGAGGAACTTTTAAATGTTGAGGAAGAAAGAGAGACGGTAATTTCATGCACTGGTCAGGGAGGTATACCATCTTTAAGGAGTGAAGAAGAGCAGAATGTAAGTGTGGGGAGGTACGCGAGGCATTACGTAGAATGAAAGGGGGTAAAGCAGCTGGTACTGATGGGATCATGACAGAAATGTTAAAAGCATGGGGGGATATAGTGTTGGAGTGGTTGGTACTTTTGTTTAATAAATGTATGAAAGAGGGGAAGGTACCTAGGGATTGGCGGAGAGCATGTATAATTCCTTTATATAAAGGGAAAGGGGACAAAAGAGATTGTAAAAATTATAGAGGAATAAGTTTATTGAGTATACCAGGAAAAGCGTACGGTAGGGTTATAATTGAAAGAATTAGAGGCAAGACAGAATGTAGGATTGCGGATGAGCAAGGAGGTTTCAGAGTGGGTAGGGGATGTGTAGATCAAGTGTTTACATTGAAGCATATATGTGAACAGTATTTAGATAAAGGTAGGGAAGTTTTTATTGCATTTATGGATTTAGAAAAGGCATATGATAGAGTGGATAGGGGAGCAATGTGGCAGATGTTGCAAGTATATGGAATAGGTGGTAAGTTACTAAATGCTGTAAAGAGTTTTTATGAGGATAGTGAGGCTCAGGTTAGGGTGTGTAGAAGAGAGGGAGACTACTTCCCAGTAAAAGTAGGTCTTAGACAGGGATGTGTAATGTCACCATGGTTGTTTAATATATTTATAGATGGGGTTGTAAAAGAAGTAAATGCTAGGGTGTTTGGGAGAGGGGTGGGATTAAATTATGGGGAATCAAATTCAAAATGGAAATTAACACAGTTACTTTTTGCTGATGATACTGTGCTTATGGGAGATTCTAAAGAAAAATTGCAAAGGTTAGTGGATGAGTTTGGGAATGTGTGTAAAGGTAGAAAGTTGAAAGTGAACATAGAAAAGAGTAAGGTGATGAGGGTATCAAATGATTTAGATAAAGAAAAATTGGATATCAAATTGGGGAGGAGGAGTATGGAAGAAGAGAATGTTTTCAGATACTTGGGAGTTGACGTGTCGGCGGATGGATTTATGAAGGATGAGGTTAATCATAGAATTGATGAGGGAAAAAAAGGTGAGTGGTGCATTGAGGTATATGTGGAGTCAAAAAACGTTATCTATGGAGGCAAAGAAGGGAATGTATGAAAGTATAGTAGTACCAACACTCTTATATGGGTGTGAGGCTTGGGTGGTAAATGCAGCAGCAAGGAGACGGTTGGAGGCAGTGGAGATGTCCTGTCTAAGGGCAATGTGTGGTGTAAATATTATGCAGAAAATTCAGAGTGTGGAAATTAGGAAAAGGTGTGGAGCTAATAAAAGTATTAGTCAGAGGGCTGAAGAGGGGTTGTTGAGGTGGTTTGGTCATTTAGAGAGAATGGATCAAAGTAGAATGATAAGGAGAGCATTTAAATCTGTAGGGGAAGGAAGGCGGGGTAGTGGTCGTCCTTGAAAAGGTTGGAAGGGGTAAGGGAGGTTTTGTGGGCGAGGGGCTTGGACTTCCAGCAGGCGTGCATGAGCGTGTTTGATAGGAGTGAATGGAGACGAATGGTATTTGGGACCTGACGATCTGTTGGAGTGTGAGCAGGGTAATATTTAGTGAAGGGATTCAGGGAAACCGGTTATTTTTATATAGCCGGACTTGACTCCTGGAAATGGAAAGTACAATGCCTGCACTTTAAAGGAGGGGTTCGGGATATTGGCAGTTTGGAGGGATATGTTGTGTATCGAATTCATTCTGACGAGGACATTCGAGCACTCCAGGAAGATTTGAATAGACTGATGCAGTGGTCGGAGAAGTGGCAGATGCAGTTTAATATAGACAAATGCAAAGTTCTAAATGTTGGACAGGACAATAACCATGCCACATATAAACTAAATAATGTAGATCTTAATATTACGGATTGCGAAAAAGATTTAGGAGTTCTGGTTAGCAGTAATCTGAAACCAAGACAACAGTGCATAAGTGTTCGCAATAAAGCTAATAGAATCCTTGGCTTCATATCAAGAAGCATAAATAATAGGAGTCCTCAGGTTGTTCTTCAACTCTATACATCCTTGGTTAGGCCTCATTTAGATTATGCTGCACAGTTTTGGTCACCTTATTACAGAATGGATATAAATTCTCTGGAAAATGTACAAAGGAGGATGACAAAGTTGATCCCATGTATCAGAAACCTTCCCTATGAGGATAGACTAAGGGCCCTGAATCTGCACTCTCTAGAAAGACGTAGAATTAGGGGGGATATGATTGAGGTGCATAAATGGAAGACAGGAATAAATAAAGGGGATGTAAATAGTGTGCTGAAAATATCTAGCCTAGACAGGACTCGCAGCAATGGTTTTAAGTTGGAAAAATTCAGATTCAGGAAGGATATAGGAAAGTACTGGTTTGGTAATAGAGTTGTGGATGAGTGGAACAAACTCCCAAGTACCGTTATAGAGGCCAGAACGTTGTGTAGCTTTAAAAATAGGTTGGATAAATACATGAGTGGATGTGGGTGGGTGTGAGTTAGACCTGATAGCTTGTGCTACCAGGTCGGTTGCCGTGTTCCTCCCTTAAGTCAATGTGACCTGACCTGACTAGGTTGGGTGCATTGGCTTAAGCCGGTAGGAGACTTGGACCTGCCTCGCATGGGCCAGTAGGCCTTCTGCAGTGTTCCTTCGTTCTTATGTTCTTATGTTCTTATGTTCTTATATGCTTCTAAGCTGTTGTGTACTGAGCACCTCTGCAAAAACAGTGATTATGTGTGAGTGAGGTGAAAGAGTTGAATGATGATGAAAGTATTTTCTTTTTGGAGATTTTCTTTCTTTTTCGGTCACCCTGCCTCGGTGGGAGACGGCCAACTTGTTAAAAAAAAAAAATATTAAGTACATATACTGCTGTAGTTTAATTCAAGATAATGCTTTAATCTGTACACCATAAAGCAGTACTCTACACAATACTCACCCTCCAGTTAAAGAAAGCAAATATGTAGAAATTTGCATACACTCCAAAAGTCATGATGAAGATAATAAAGATAATGGAGATAGGCTTAAGGAGGCGCTTCAAGACATCTGCAACACGTTGAGACCACCTCTTTATCAACAGACCAATGGAGAGAGGTAGCACCAGTCCCACTACCAACATAGCAATATTCTTGTATGGAAGCTGAGAAAAGTGACCATCTGGAAAATAAATTGTTCAATTTTAATACTGCCATGTATTTTTATGCATGGGACCTATTCAGATGACAGCAAACAAATGAATGAGATACTGAAGTCTCAATATGACACAGTATTTAGTGAGCTGTTCATCATACTAAGGGTCGACAATCTAAACATTTTATGACTGAGATTCAAAATTTGATTAATTCAAGAATTTCTGACATACATAATTCTAGCACCACAGGACTTTGAAAAAGCAATAAATGACATGCCCATTCACTCTGCCCCAGGCCCAGACTCATGCAACTTTGTATTCATCAAGAGGTTCAAGAAACCCTTTTCACGTGCCTTAAATATTCTATGGAGAGGGAGCACAGACACAAGAGGTCACCCCACAGTCACTAAAAACAACAGATATAGCCCCACTCCACAAAGGTGGTAGTAAAGCAATTGCAAAGAAACCATGGTATGGGTGGGGGTAGAACTCATTACAAGTGAGTCTTAAAACTCCAGGCCAGTACGTAAGCCACTGGGCCAGCTGGCTACAATAAGATTCATCCAATTAGGTACATTTATACACCATAAGGAGATTAGCACAGGCTCCACTGTAACCACAAATGCAAGTTTTAACAGATGAATCTCTCGCAAGTGTGGCCATGACAAATCTTATTGTAGCTAACTGTCCCAGTGGCTTACGCACTGGCCTTGAGTTTTAAGACTCACTTGCAATGAGTTCTAACCCCACCCATACTGTGGTTTGTCTGCAATTGTGTTATTATGATTTCATGCGTCAATTGCAAAGAATTACAGACTGGTAGCACTAACGCCCCACATCATAAACATCTTTGAAAGGGTTCTAAGAAACAAGGTCACCAACCACCTGGACACCTATCAATTGTACAATCCAGGGCAGCATGGGTTGAGAGCAGGTTGCTTCTGCCTCTCACAATTGCTGGACCACTATGACATAGTCTTGGATGCACTGGAGGACATACAAAATGCAAATGTAGTACTGTACATATACACAGACTTTGCAAAAGTCTTTGACAAAAAGTGATCGTGGTGTAATAGCACACAAAATGCATGATAAAGGAATAGCAGGAAAAGTGGGTAGATGGATCTATAACTTCCTAACAAATAGAACAAAAAGAGTAATAGTAAACAGAGTAAAGTCAGCAATGGCTATAGTGAAAAGCTCTGTTCCACAAAGAACAATACTTGCTCCCATCCTTTTCCTCATCCTCATATCTGATAGACAGAGATGTAAGCCACAGCACTGGATCATCCTTTGCTGATGATACCAGAATTTCCATGACATGTGTCATGCATTGAGGACACTGCAAATCTCCAAGTGGACATTAACCAAGTCTTTAAATGGGGCTCAGAAAAAAATATAAAGTTCAATGACGACAAATTTCATTTACTCTGCTACGGAAAACTTGAGGAAATAAAAGTGTGTTATCAAGCTTTTATATATATTTGAAAGTGAAAAAAGGCTGTTTCACTTTAAAGTGATTTTTGTTTTACAGCAGTAGCCTGGAACCCTAACCTGCTGTATAAGTGAGGCCATCCTGTAGTAAAAACCATTGACAACTGCATGACAAAGTACATACATGCTAAAAATTAATCTGATAAAGCCAATTCCATTACTATCATTACATGATATTTATCAATTCAGTCTCTTCAAGGAAGGTTCTTGGATGATGCTGGTGAATGCATTTAAATCCTAGGAAACTGAGCTATTCTTCCTTTCTCAGATCAAACCTGGTGCTGTATGACCAACAGGCTTAGTGCTTCCCTAGGAATATAATGATGCACTGTATAGTAACCTTTGTATTATAAGTACTGTTATTGTTAAATTGTAAGACTTTAAAAACATACTAAGGTGTACTTTATTTACTGCATATAAAATTGTTATTGAATGTCTGTTATTACTTTATAGGAATGTACTGAATCACTCATATTAATAAACTTTTTAACATAGGCCCTCTTCCACCAAGGCAGGGAGACACAAAAACAAGATATAGAGTACAATGATTATCACTCATTCAAATAGCTGTCTTGGAAAAAGTTTATAGACATCACAATTTAAATAACCATCTTAACTGCAACATTCCCACCCCTCCTTCAGAATGCAGGCACTATCCTTTCCACTTCTGGGACTCAAGTCTGGCTAACTGGTTTCCCCCTGAATTTTTTTTTTTTAACATGTCGGCTATCTCCCACTGAGGCAGGGTGACCCAAAAAGAAAGAAAATCCCCAAAAAGAAAATACTTTCATCATTATTCAACACTGTCACCTGACTCATGCATAATCACTGTTTTTGCAGAAGTGCTCAGAATACAACAGTATAGAAGCATATACGTATAAAGATATACAACATATCCCTCCAAACGGCCAATATCCCAAACCCCTCCTTTAAAGTGCAAGAATTATACTTCCCATTTCCAGGACTCAAGTCCGGCTATATGAAAATAACTGGTTTCCCTGAATCCCTTCACTAAATATTACCCTGCTCACACTCCAACAGCTTGTCAGGTCCCAAATACCATTTGTCTCCATTCACTCCCATCTAACATGCTCACGTACGCTTGCTGGAAGTCCAAGCCCCTTGCCTACAAAACCTCCTTTACCCCCTCCCTCCAACCTTTTCGAGGACGACCCCTACCCCGCCTTCCTTCACCTACAGATTTATATGCTCTCCATGTCATTCTACTTTGATCCATTCTCTCTAAATAACCAAACCACCTCAACAACCCCTCTTCAGCCCTCTGGCTAATACTTTTATTAGCTCCACACCTCCTAATTTCCACACTCCAAATTCTCTGCATAATATTTACACCACACATTGCCCTTAGACAGGACATCTCCACTGCCTCCAACCATTTCCTCACTGCAGCATTTACAACCCAAGCTTCACACCCATATAAGAGTGTTGATACTACGTACTATACTTTCATACATTCCCTTCTTTGCCTCCATAGATAATGTTTTTTGTCTCCACATATACCTCAATGCACCACTCACCTTTCTTCCTTCATCAATTCTATGGTTAACCTCATCCTTCATAAATCCATCCGCTGACACATCAACTTCCAAGTATCTGAAAACATTCACTTCTTCCATACCCCTTCTCTCCAATTTGATATCCAATTTTTCTTGTTCTAAATCATTTGAAACCCTCATCACCTTACTCTTTTCTATGCTCACTTTCAACTTTCTACCTTTACACACTCTCCCAAACTTGTTCACTAACCTTTGCAATTTTTCTTTAGAATCTCCCATAAGCATAGTATCATCAGCAAAAAGTAACTGTGTCAATTCCCATTTTGTATTTGATTCTCCATAATTTAATCCCACCCCTCTCCCGAACACCCTAGCATTTACTTCTTTTGGAACCCCATCTATAAATATATTAAACAACCATGGTGACATTACACATTCCTGTCTAAGACCTACTTTTACCGGGAAGTACGCAGTCTCCCTCTCTTCTACACACCCTAACCTGAACCTCACTATCCTCATAAAAACTCTTTACAGCATTTAGTAACTTACCACCTATTCTATATACTTGCAACATCTGCCACATTGCTCCCCTATCCACTCTATCATATGAATATCTTCATAAATGTTACCTTCCTCACACTCCAACAGCATGTTAAGTAAAAAAAAAAAACACTTGTCTCCATTCAATTCAATCTTACAGACTCACAAGAATATTGAATGCTCAAAATCAAAGCACTCAGAGCCTCCTTTACCCCTCCCTCCCTCTAACCCTTCCTGGAAAGACAACTACCCCTTCTTCCCTCCATCCCAGAATTATACACATCCTTGGTCATCCTATTCTGCTCCTTCCTTTCTATATGCCAAACTACCTCAACAATTCCTCCTCAGCCCTCTGAATTTTCATATATCTTTAGTAACCCCACACCATCTAATTTCTAAGCTTGAAATTCTCTGCTTTTAAACATGACATCTCTACTGCCCCCAGCCTCCTCCTTCCTGAAATATTTGAAGCCCAAATCTCACACCTATACAAAAGTGTTGGCACCACCTACATTTTTCCAATCATCTATTCTATCTATTGGTATTCTCTCTTTTTTACACAAATTTAATTATGCCCAACTAATAATACTATATACTACATGCATTCAATTTTATATTTGTTTTATTGAGTTTAAAAAACATTTAGTCACTGAACTATTTTCCATGGGGAAGCCTTCGCAATAATGTAGTCGAGAGCAGTGGTACATAAATATGTACAATATTTATGCACCATTTAATAAGTTATAAGTATAATAAGTTTATTAAGCTATAATAACAGCACTACCCTTATTTAAGTAATATGCACATTTGCTTATGTCTCCCTTTATAAAATTACTCAATTTGTCCTACGTGTATGTATCCTAATATTAAACTGCTTTTCTGCCACATAAAATGGTTCAGCTTCAAACCACAGTTAGAGAACAGTACCATACTTTATTTTCCTTGACCCACTCTACTCCAAGTTTCAAATCTCTGGCCTTCTTTTTGATGCCCTACTGAAACACATTCCTCACCCTTTTCTTTCATATTAGTGAAGTACTATAATTATCTAATCTTATACACTGCACACTCTTTTCATTAACGTTATAGCCACCTTACTTTTTTATTCCAATAATATTATTTCCTCAGTATTCCTGCATTTGTTTTCCTGTTATACTTCTTAGGTTCTGTTTCATCATTATCATCTATTTAACTTCAATAGTTTTTATGCATTAACAAAACTATATATAGTACCATGAAAGATGGTTCTGGCAAGTGCATACACCCAGAGTGGGAGAGCAGCAAAAGCACCAACAGTAGAGATGAAAGTCATGGTGACAGAGAGGTCAAGGGAGCCACCCAGTAAGTATGTCCACATGTTGGATCCACCACCACCTGGAGAGCACCCAGTTAAGAACAGTCCAAGCCACATTTCTGGCGTGTCATAGAAGATTCCATAGCCAATAGCATAAGATATCTGGAAGTCAAGTAAAAATTTAACAATACACCTTGTTAAATGAAATCAACACAGCATATCCAATACACCTTGCTTATATAATTTTAGTTAATGGTAAGTTTGAAATTTTTGGGAAACACAGTAGTACAAGGATTATGAGAATAGTGGGCAGTGTATTTCTATCAGTGATAATAAGTTACTGTATTACAGTAATTTAGAGTCCTAACTAACATTGTGGTTAATAAGATTTTGTTAAGACCCAGTACAGTGGACCCCCGGTTAACGATATTTTTTCACTCCAGAAGTATGTTCAGGTGCCAGTACTGGCCGAATTTGTTCCCATAAGAAATATTGTGAAGTAGATTAGTCCATTTCAGACCCCCAAACATACACGTACAAACGCACTTACATAAATACACTTACATAATTGGTCACATTCGGAGGTAATCGTTATGCGGGGGTCCACTGTATATTGTGAAATGTCTCCTCAGAGTACTGTAACACCTTACAAGAGGACTCACTAGTGGCATAAACAAGTACTGTGAGAAGAGGCCAATCGCAGGAGCTACAGGATGCCGGAGCGTGTCTTTGATGACCTTAAGGTCTATAGCACAGCCCATATTGATATACACCACAATCACAAGAGCAATAACAACATGAATGAAGATTTTGTCTAGTACCCGCTCTCCTCGTTGCACCTAAAAAAAAACAGAAACTTAATCAATCAATCTATTTCAACATGATACATCATTTACACAAAATTGGGTAACATTACATCTCTCACAAGGAAAGCCCCTTAGTTATGCAGAGCACAATGATGCTTACTGTTACAGATGTTGGAGAAAATAATGTGCATGCTAAGTTGAAGAATAACCAAGTTTGTCAGCAAGAGCCTAGAATTTTTATATAAAACCTTGCAACTTGACTATTAAGTTTTGTACTATGATCCTTTTAAGTTTAGCACTTATTTTAAATAATAATTATAATAATAAATGAAGGATTCATAGCAACTAGTCAGTTGGACTTGAGTCCTAAGGGAGGAAGTACTACTGTGCCTGCACTCTGAAGGACGGTGGGGATGCTGCAGTTTGGAAGGTCAAGGTCATTTGCAGTGTGATGTCTGTGCAACTTCTAGGAAGAGAGCTATTGAATGAATGATGGTGAATGTTTCTTTTTCTTTTCTTGGATCACCCAACCTTAGTGGAAGATGGCTGGCATGTTAAAAATGGAATACAGTAGGACCCCCATATACATGAGGGACAC